AAAGGATTTAAACACGAAGGCGCGCTATAAAAGGAGCCTTAGGTCCCACTGGACCATTTGTCAATCAACCGTCGTGTGATGTAGAACTCTTAGAGTCAAGTCAGCTTGAGCTACAGCTACTCCAAAGCAGTGAACAGCGGGCGCATTCCTCAAAATTGTTTTATGTCTTCATCACAATACAAGAATTTTTGAGATTTGTATTTCCTTTCTCCAATGGAAACTGTCTTTATTTGTGGCGGTAAATTTGAGATCGAAGTAGGTGGTTCGCACGTTACCTCATGCCACCATGCTGGTGGAAGTAAACAATAGATATCTCATGAGCTCCTTTTGTTTGTCTACCAGCATTTAAATTTGACCCGCACACGTAAACGGTGAGTGACAAATGAGCCTAGGTCTTCCCAGGGAAGACTTCCTTATATAGCGCACCTTCGTGTTTAACCCTATTTCTGATCTTGTTTCCATTTATTTTACAGGACAGTGATGTTGGACCAAAAGTACAAGTTCAACCCCAGAGAATCAAACTGAATTTACGATCAGGTACACTGACATGGTATCTGTACATGTTTGTAGGAAGTGACATTATCATTAGTCCCTGTATAGATATTTTCAGGACTACTCATCAAGAAGTTTTTTCAATTCTAGATATATTACTATCTTAAAGTTAACTGGTAACTTATAATTAGTGCCTAGACAGACAGTATGTCAAAAGAGATATATCTTTTATGCCAGTAATATAACAGTTTATTGTGTTGAGTTCCTGGGCGAGACACTTTGCTAGCTCAAAGTGTAGTGGACCACTGGTACAGGCAAATTGACAGGGAAAACTGACTAAATTCTCGAGGTAGCCTATGATGAGCTAGCAGCTAATTGTCAGTGGAACTGAGATACATATAATCTCAGATGTAATTGGTCATGTGACTTAAAGAGTGCATAATCTTATATTTGTGAGCTGTGGTGATGTGTCTGGGGAAAAATCATAGAGAACCATATAACTGATTTACAGGAGTGGCATCTACCGTGAGACTGACCGTGAGACCAGCAGAAAACTACCCTGTAGATTTGTACTATCTTATGGACATGTCAAACTCAATGAAAGATGACTTGGGAAAACTGACGGCTTTGGCCACAAAAATAGGTACAGGAAAATGAATAACTAAAGGCAATTATACAATGTACTACTCTGGGTATAATTTTGATATTTTGAAAATCACAAAAATTCCTTGTAGAGACACTGCCGTGACATCGTATCTTCATTAAGAACTGTAAATGTCATGGTATTAGAGTTTTATTAAATGAAAAAGTCCTGTGTGATAATGAGGATATTATTTGTAGCAATTGGTAAAAACCAGTGTTAAGTGACAGTGGTTCTGGATCATGGGCTATTTTAGAGAACAGTAAAAGATAATAATAGACAGTTAATAGAATAAGAATGGTGAATTTTAAGCTTGTAGTATGAGGGAGGCATGTCTTGCATGAACAAAGCATTAGAAAAGTTCTCTGAACAGTCTCTGTGTTTCAGAGGTAGAGTGTTGGAGTGTTATTTCACTGTCCCATGCTTGTGACTTGATGAAAAAAGCCTCATCCTCTCTTTTCTCAATTGCTGAGCTTGAAATTCACCATCCTTTTAGTTCTGTTTATCCACACAAGCCTTTTGACGTGGCTGATCTCAGCAGATTGCTGAAGCCTAGTAATGTGTTGATCAATTCAAATCTTCAACATCCCTCTCTTTTTGGAAAACCCCTGGGCATTTGAACTTTTGAAGATTGGCATGTTCAAATTTCTGCCTCCCCCCCTCCTGGCCAAAATTGCATTCAAATTTGCCCATCAAATTTTGAATGATTCTTTGTGTTACCAAGCAATGTTGTAGAATTTAGCAAAGTTAGGTCTTAGTTTTTGGTGCTGCTGTTGGGTTTTTTGTTGGTAAGTAACATTCTACAATGAGCTTCTAATTAATTTGCTCACCAGAGTGTAAAGCAGACTCCTAACCTTTGGACTCTTTTAAAACATGTTCACCATGGAGTCTCTATGGCTCAGTGATTGAGTGTTCAAAGGTTTGAGGTTTATTTCCTCAAAAGGGACTGGCAATTTTTCTTTGTCCTATGTTCATGACTTGCAACTGATTTCTCTAAACAATTTTTGAAGAGGGGAATTTGTATTTTGTAGTGCAAATTTCCTTTTAAATTGTAGATTTTGAAACAAATCTTAGATTTCTGTACTGTGAACTAAAATGCCTACATTAAGTACAATAAGTTCATGGATAAGTTATTGAAATTACTTTGTGTCTCTTTAATGAATTTCTTCAGCTGATAGTATGAATAACATCACAGAAAATTCATATCTGGGCTTTGGTTCTTTTGTGGACAAGACTGTCAGTCCATTTATCAGAGTTGAGTAAGTACATGCAACTCTTCATTTTCATTTTGAAACTATTTAACTTTACTGATTGATGATGATTACTATCTACAGAGAATTGAATTTGTCGTTATTCATACCTTCTGACAGGGTGCAGAGGCACTAGAACTGATTAAGTGGGTCAGACCTGCATAACAGTGCACAATTCTTAAAAACTGCAAAATCCCATTCTCTATTAAGAGATTTGCATTTAATGAATATTTGATTGGATTGGGTACAAGTACCTTTTTTACCCATTCAAATCTGACAGGATTTTAATTGTTTCCTCATTCCTTGTCAGAAGACCTGTTGATTTTTGTTGATTTTGTTGATTTTTGGTGTTACATAGTCACAAGTCCAACTTGTTGCTCTACTTGTCAAAAGTGTAAAATTATTTTGAAAAATTTGTTTTCACTCACAACGAAACAATCTATATTTGCTTTAGCTCCATGTTCCATTAGTGCAAGTCATGTAATGCAGATCGAGCCAGTCCCATTAAATTTAGTTTATAAGCCTTCTTTTGCAAATATTAGCTCCCATGTTCCTTCCAAGGGAAGACACCATTTGACATCGTGGGACAAATATTAATCCTATGAACAACAAAAATACAAATAAGCCTTGTTAGAAATATTCTCAAGTAGTAATAACAAATTAAAACATTAAGTGACCAGTTCCCTTAATGGGACTTTTCAGGGTTGAAAGGAACAAATTGATTCATTGCAAATAAACCCAGTGTTTAAAAATCCCAATTGAAGTTTATGAAAGGTTAATGATATATGTATCTTATTAGACGTTTTATGAGTTGTGCCGTATTTTGACGAGCCCGTAGGGCGACTCAAAATACAAATAACTAGTAAAAATACTCAGCGATAGTACACAACAAAATGTCTAATAAGTTATTTATTATCCAACACACCAAACTGTCATTTCAGTTCGGGCAAATTTCGCGGATATTTGTTTTCGGGGAGTGTGTGACAGAAGTATGCGAAGTGGAACGGAATTGGCGCATTGTTGTGTTGCTGTTTCTATTTTCTTCAATAAATGTAGAATTTCCAGGTTTTCTAGTTGTTTTTCTTCGTTCGATTCATCTAATAAACTTGGATGTATATTTGCCAGCCATTCTAACTCTTCGTCGTCGGAAATATGATACAAAATGTCCGCCATTTTTTTTTTTTCGTAACTACAATTCAATTCTTTGCTTGCGCGATGCGAGAAAACCTTTTTAACCAGTACTACAATAGACGAGTACAAATACCGCGTGATACTTGTACTCGTCTATGGCGTTATTTGTACTCGTCTAGGTGTAGTTGGATAATAAATTACAATATTACAATATTGCAAAAGAATTGGCCTCTCAAGCTTGAGATTCTTTCTCCATGGGATATTAAAGTTCTCATTTGGCAGATATAGCATCAGATATGAGGTTTGATTCTTGTTTGATTTGTAGGACAAAGCTTCCATGTAGAACTTCAGACAAAGAGACCTGTGTGCCCACATATGGCTACAGACACGTTCTCTCGCTTGTTGCTGATGCCCCACAATTTGCAGTAAGTGTTAGTTTGTAATTTTCTGTGTCCTCTCTAATAATGAGTTCAAAAGACTTTTCTTTATTCAGATGAGTATGAGTTTAAAGTAGTTCTGGATCTGTATTTAGTCTGAGCTGACATGATTAGTATAAACACTTCATTTTGATATCTCTCTTTCATAGAAAAAAATTAAGGAGCAGGTCATTTCTGGTAATCTTGATGCTCCTGAAGGGGGGTTTGATGCCTTGATGCAAGTAGCAGCTTGTGAGAAGGTAAGTGGCATGAATATAGGACATAAAAATGTGATACAGTCTTAAATGCCATTTACAGATGTAAATCACTGAAAGCACCCCTTGCAGTATTTCTCTGGAGAAAATTGTGAAACTGGGCCAGATTTATATGCCTAGGACACGAGATGGATGTTAAGGTGATTCCTCAGATTAAAGATTACTGACAGATATGATGGTGCAAGCTTACATGTACCTCATTTATGCCTGTATTGGCACTTTTTAAATCATATGCTCTATTTTTTGGGTTCACTGACATTTGCAGTTGCATGGCTTTTACAATAACATCAGAAAAAGTCGTGATAGATTGAAAGTTTTGAGTGTTTGGAGCTATTTTATATATAATTTGTGGAAATATCATGCAATTTTTAACAACATGGACCAAATATGTTCCTTGATTTGTTGCTTTCAAGGTCATAATTTGCATCCTCAAGTACAGGGCTATAATGGGCTTTGGCCGCATGTTTAGCTTTATCTTTCTTTCCCTCATGAATTTTTTTACTTTCTCCAGTTCAAAGTGCACAAGATTATTGATGCCCAGTACAGGTTGTGCAGTTTAAGACTGGGGAATCATCTTAAAAAGGAAATGTTTGCTTCAATTGAATTTGCCAAGTTTTGTTTGAAAACTTGGAAAATGTTTAAAACCCTCAATCAAAGTGTGATTGGGGTTATACATGTACTTGAGCTGAGTTATTGGTTGGCTAAGTGTGACTTTACATGTACATGAGGCAAAACCAATTCTGTTTCCCTGTTTTCATGTTCCCCAATGATTTGATGGGAAGAATGTATCTAATCTGACTTAAAACTGACCATAAAAATTTCATGTCAAAAATTGATGCAAAACTGCACTTTGGGGCAAAACTCCCAGCAGTGAGTGAATTTATTAATTGTTAAACTTGCTGTGTTGGCGTAGGAAATTGGTTGGGGTGCCAATGGTACATCTCGCCGTCTGGTTGTCTTTGTTTCGGATGCACCATTTCATATTGCTGGGGATGGAAAGGTTTGTATCCCTAACTATCAATTGATATGCAATACATTTAAGGAACGAGGGACAATTTTGTCATTTATATTTAACATCCTTCAATTGTACAGAATTATAAGCCTAATTATCCATTATATATAGCTACATGCAATTAATTTGTTGATGGTTTTGTTGTTCAGCTTGGTGGTATTGTGACTCCAAATGATGGAAAATGCCATTTGAAAAAAGATGTTCAGGGAGGCTATGACTTCTACTCAAAGTCTAATGAAATGGTATGATTGAGGCAAAAAGTTGATTTGTATCCAGTTCTAAAAATTACTCAAATGTGTTAATCAGGGGCTGTAATAATTTGGATATATCAACAAAGTTGAAATGGTAAATTGGCCACGGTAACGATTACAAAAGCTGACGTTTTGAGCGTTAGCCCTTCGTCGGAGCGAAGGGCAAGCAAGGGCAAGCAGGGCTGTACCTGCTTGCATTCAGTTGGAAGTAGCTCTGGATGCTTGGACATGAAAGAGAGATTCTGTGGAAAACTAATAGCTTATTGTGTTTTGTGTTATAAATATAGAATATGCACCTGGATTATGTCTTAAGTTATACAAATTATTGCTTGTTGCTATCAGTGGTGATAGTTACTAACAACAGTTTTATCATTTCATAGGATTATCCTTCTCTGGCCCAGCTTCATGACAGACTCCAGCAGAGCAATATTATCCCAATATTTGCAGTTGTTAAGGAGGTCTCCAGCTTGTACCAGGTATTTACTCAAAGCTTTGTGTCTTAAATTTTATGTAATTTTGAATGTGATAGGAATACTCCTAGTACACTCTAAGAGTATCCAAGATAATGTGCTGAATTCAAAATGATCTCAGCATTAATTGCTCTTCCTCTTATCATTACCAATGAAAATACTGAAAACAGTTTGTGTGGAGGTGCTGATTGAGTCAGACCTGACAGGGCTTTCTTGTATCAGATGTTTTCCCGTTTTCAGGGTAGCAAACTAACAAACTCTGAATGGTGTATAATTTTGAAAAAATGCTTTCTTTACAACCCACTCTTTTTTGTATTAGGATATATATGATCAGTAAGCCTAAGCTTAGAAGTTTATGCTGTGTTTTAAGGTCCTCCATTTAATTTGATAATGTTTTGTAGAGTGTGGCATCCATGTGGAGTGACTTGGGAGCTGTGAGTGGAGAGCTAGCGGGTGACTCTGGAAACATTGTAGACCTGATCGCCAGAAAATATGAGGTGAATACATGTATTAATTACATTAGAGGTGGTCACCTTTAACAGAGGGTGCAATGTTTGTCTGCTGTCTTAGATTTTAAAGACATTATGAGAAAGAAAATTAAAGGTTTGGTCCATGAATAATTTTGTTCTTTGCGTGATCCATCCTTATCCTATTGTACTCGACAACATCGTGACTTACATGTGAGGCAAACAATGCCAAGCTACAAAAACAGTTACTGGTACTTTTCCTCTGTCATAAGACATCTGCACAAGTATTCAGCTTGCTGACAATTTTCTCTGTAGTCCAAATTACAGCATTAATTTTACCCCCTGGCCAATAATTTCAATCTACATCCCTCTGCTCAATGACTAACAATTTCCTTTTTATTGTTTCAGGAAATTGTATCATCCGTGAGCTTGGTCTTTAATGCTCCAGAGAAAGTGTCAGTTACTGTCAAAGCTAATTGTGGGTAAGTGGAATTGTCAAAAGTTGTTGTACAAAATATATGTGTGTTTTCGATCTGTTCTGATTTGATTTATGCATAGAAGCAACAAGATAGCTTGGAATTATGCATTTCACAGTCACAGTTCTTGCTTAGAAACATTAGTTTCTAATATTTGTATTGACTGGTTGACATTGTTATATTTTAAGGCCTAATGCAGTCAATGACCAAACCCGGAGGTGTTCAAATGTGAAAATTGGAGAAAAGGTATTGTGTCTTACGGGAGCCAGAAGAAATTACTTAGGCTGACTTTGCATTTTTGCTTAATATGTTATTTAGGTAACATGATCTGCTATTGATGTGAAAGCTTTTTTCTGCAGGTTTATTTTGATGTGTCAGTGACATTACAACAATGCCCTGAGGCAGGAGCTGCTCAGCAGAACAGGTCAGTCAGCCTGAGTTTGTTCCCAGTTCTCCCACTGCTCAAAATCTTGTGTAACTTTCAGAGTGGGGAGCTCACTAGTAAGTGCTTGGTCGTCAAAAAATTTCTTTGTAACTGTCGTTTGCTCTTTTTTTTTTTTTTTTTTTTTTTTTTTTTGGATTTGCAGCTTCACAATTCGTGTGCCAGGATTCGGAGCTGTAGAACTTGACCTGAGTTATATCTGTGAGTGCAACTGTGGAAAGCCAGATATGGCGGTAAGCCACTTTGAATTAAATTTTTTTGCATGGACTCTTTGTTTTGAAGGATGTAATCACCACCCTAATGATAGAAATAAACATGAAGTGAGTCTGTGAGGACAAGCGTGTAGTACGAGAGCAACTGCAGAGTGGGAATATAATAAATAAATAAAGCATTTGTGGCGACTTCTTCGGAGACCCCCCACCCCCCTGCTTCTCCAGCCATCTCCTCACTCTTGCTCCTTTGACATGATTTAAAAATTGAGCCAAGAAATTCGAAAGATTGATTGGGTACTCGAATTACATTTCAGTCGCTTTAAAGAAGTAAGATCTTTTTATTTCTCTTCCCTTGCCCAGACCCTCACCTTCTCGCTTTCACCTTCATAAATATCGCGAGGCATATACTTGACTCATCCTGGATATCAAAGAGAAGGCTTCTTCTCTTTTTGTTCTAACCCATTTGCCTTGAGTGTAACAAAACAGTTAGATTTCTGAGAGGTTTGAATCGTGATGGGAAATGCGATTCTGTCTCAGGTTGTATTGCTAGCACTGAACACGGTATCGGTATCCCTTTGTACCCTGTACAGGAGGAAAACAGCACTAAGTGTACCGAAGGAAACGGAACGTTTGCCTGTGGACAATGTGACTGTAACAAAGGGAGGTGGGTACCGAGTCGCCGGAGTCTTTTCCAAGCGACTTCTTTGCGAGAAATCGAGGAATCTTTCCAAGAGTCTTATCCACTAAATACATGTTTAACACAACACAACGCAACGCAACGTTTATTCAGGGAACTACGACGCAAATATAAAAAAAGAAAAAAACCTGAACAGGGAAAATCGTGTGGTTAGCCCTGTATAAAAACAATTTCCCTGACTAAAAACATACGAAAGATAGAATTTAATGGCTACAGATTCAATGAATATTCAAATAAATTTTAAGTCTACTCTTAAAAACAGACATTTATTTGGCGTGTACAATGTATCCTGGTAAGCTATTCCATTTCCCCACAATGCGAAAGAAGAAGGAATATTTGTAACAATTACAAACCGCTCTTTTCAGGTAAAGTTTATAATCGTGGTTAGCTCTTGTACGCTTATTATGTTTAATCATTCTTTTTTATTTTATTTTATTTTGCTTTTGTTTTCGGGTGGGGGTTTTAAGAATCTTAAGGGAATTATTATTGTGATCATTGAACAAGACCCACAGAAGAAACTAACGACTGCTTCCATAAAATGAATCTCGATCTCTGTTTTTTTATTGCTGTACTTACCAACCTGATCATATCAGTCTTCGGAGTATTGTCAGTTGATGTGAGAAAATATTTTACTAATACAATATCGAGAGTTGCCAGTGTGTGTTTTATTCCTCAAACATTTGCCGGTACACGTTACACCCACAATCCTGCAGCAGTACTCTTCAGTCTCTTTGGAGGCACCAAAACAGGCGTTCTCATTTGTCTTTTTTCTTCAAGGTATGGAGAAATCTGTCAGTGCGATACGCCATTTGACAAATCAAAGGATCAGTCTAAATGTAAAAGGTATCTAAAAATGACAGATTTTTTTAAGTCCACCTCAATACGTCCTAACTAAGAAAACGTCTTGAATTGGAGCCATGATGGACAGCCTGCCAGAACATCTGTCTAAGCAGTCAGCTTGAGAGTCACTTATTAGTTAATTTGAAAAACGACGGCCGTAACACTCGGCCGTAACACTCGACCGTAACACTCGACCGTAACTGTATCATGCTTCTTCTATGAAGGATTAGGGTAGACAATGCAAATATCACCAGTTTTGCTCTTCGGGGGTCATTTTATGGCCAACAGGAGAATCCAAATCATGTCAGTGAGCGTACGGAATTTGTTTTCCGTTTTTTTTAATTTTTTTATTTTTTATTTTTTATTTTTATATAGGGATTAACAATTTATTACGTTAACATTAGGTATGAATATGAAATTAATGTAAACCGAATGGCAAGGCAGGGCCGGGTCATATCGTTGCATTAAACACTGTGCGTTATCCATCTGCAGCTCTAACTCTACAGACGAACTGCCATGTAGTGGAAACGGCGAGTGCGCCTGTGGAAAGTGTGTTTGCAAAACGGTGAGTTAAAAGAATAAACATTCGTGAAATGTTGGTGAGAAAAAGAAAATTTGCTCTTGATTTTGGATTAAAGCAAAAAGTTTAGGCTCAAGTATTATGAAAACAAACCGGCTTGATTTCACTGGCATCGTAAATGGTTTTTGTTTAGGAACAGGGAAAGAGGTTTTATGGGGACCTGTGCCAGTGTAATGACTTCTCCTGTCCTGAAGATAAAGGCCAATTGTGTGGAGGTATGGTTCTTCTACCGTAAACAGAATTAAACATCCTTAGCATGGTGATTGTCTTACTAAGCTGTCCAAGGCGCGACTGGTATTTGGTGATGTATGGATGTTTTTTTTGTTCCAGGTCCTGATCGTGGAGTTTGTCGTTGCCGTAAATGCCAGTGTAAACCAAAGTATCATGGCACTAACTGTGATAAAAAGAACTGTACATATTTTCCTCCAGAAACCCAATGCAAAAAAGATGCAGATTCGGTGAGTCAGTTTATTCGCTGCGATATTATAGGATATCTTTTAAATTCTTACGCATGCATGTATTGTTAAAGTATTTGTAGAGATATATGTAATTTATTATAATTATTGTATGGGGTATAGTTAATATGGGGATTAAGTTCCTCCCTCTATAACCCAATTGTAATGTAATGTAATAAAATGCGAATTACGATTACGATTACAATAAAGCTGTTATATATGTATCCCTTCACCGATTGTTGTGTTTGCTATGTTTTCTGAAACGAGGCCAGCTTCTGACGTCTGGTGCGGTGTTATTCTGTGTATTTTCAGGCGATATGTGGAGGTGCTGAGAGAGGCGACTGCATGCCAGACGACGAAAACTGCTACAAATGTGTTTGTAAGAGTGCTTATGATGGAACCTATTGTGAAAAGTGTCCGGTAAGTGGTGTTATGACCGTTATCAGCCACCAGTACGTTTTTTCGGTAGCCATTGTGGGTAAGGGCCTGTCGAATCATCAGATTCCTGGCAGGAGTACAGGCCCGTGCCAGTGGCAACTAGAAAGTACCGTCTTATCATTTTTTATCTAGAAGCCTGCTAATTGTGATGGGCAAAGAAGACTGTAAGACAGGCGTTATACATGAGGTGCTCCTTGTTGAGGCACCGAGGACACCCCAGATACAAAAATGCGATTAGAAACGCAGCGATTCAACCTTGGTGTTTGAAATCCTTGACATGCTCACTTTACTAAACATCGTTCGTTCGAAATTATTTTTCTTCTAGAACTGTGAAGACGGCATGTGTAGCCGCAATGAAGACTGTGCTCTGTGTTCAACATTTGAAGGCCAGTCCTTGGACCAGTGTAAACAAAGTAAAAGGTGTGAAGCTAATGTTCTGGAAGTTCAGGTGGTGGATGACATCAAAACAAAAACAGGTGAGGATTATTTGGCGCCCAACGTAACGACAGAATAATAGAATATGCATGGTTTTTCTGGTGAGAAACAGCCGTATAAAATATTTAGGTTTAAGAAATACGAAGACAAACCGGGCCCAATTAAATGTGGCCAACCTCAAAGACGTGAAGTACATTTAGTCAGCACAAATTGCAGTTGGGACAATTGATGCGTAAAGGTGTGGTGCAGCGTCTGCAATGCAGTCGGCAGGTGGCATCAAATTCGAGTGAGATTATTAATATGCAGAATTGATCTAAGTGGATGATTTTTTTTCATGTTTGTAGATGAAAATTTGTATCGCTGTGAGGGAGAAGTTGACGGATGCACATATTACTTTACTACACAAACAGAGGAAAACAGCGAACGATTTGTACTTTTTGTTCAAAAAGAGAAAGGTAATGCTTCAGCGTCTCGTGTTGGTGTGTTTTTTTTTTTTTTTTTAACTGAAATTAAACTTGAAAAAAAATAGTTCAATACTGCTTCTTAGAAGACCGAAAATGTCCCATATCTTACAATTGTTTTAAACTCCAGGGTCCGGTTGTTCGAAAGTTGGAGAACGCTAGATCTTCTGGATAAATCTCTTATCTGTTGTATAGCGTAGTTCGTGATGCTTTCAGTTATCCGCTGGATAGCGATTTATCCGTTGGATAGCGATTTATCCGTTGGATAGCGATTTATCCGTTGGATAGCGATTTATCCGTTGGATAGCGATTTATCCGTTGGATAGCGATATCAGTCCTTGATACAACCGGGTCCAGGACTGTTCTTTGAACTTAAAACTAGTTAGGGGAAACAATTTTTATGTTCATTTCCAACTTTGTTTTACACAGTTTTTGTCTTTTGTTGTTTCAGTGAGTTGTCCCGAGGAAGCACCCATCTTACCCATTGTGTTGGGTGTTGTTGGTGGAATATTACTCCTGGGTCTTATTATCTTAATTGTTGTCAAAGCCTTCGTTACCATGGTGGTATGTTAGCTTCAGTTTGTTATTTAATCAACATTTCGTTTTGACATGAGTGCAAATGTGTATGACTGGACGTTGTGTCGCTTTGAGCGAAGTTGAAAACATTATATCTATTTGTCAAATACCTCTGATTAATCCAGCGCAGCTTGATAAGTCAAAGTTAGGTGCTGCCCAGATTGGTCATTAAGAAACAAATAGGACTCTGAGATTGAGTTATCTTCCTTAATCGGTATATGTCATTCATGGTTACGGCTTCATAAGCAACTTTGAATGTCATCTTTGTACGTTTTGATTAATGCCAGCGAGAGAAACTATTTTCTTCGTCTGAACCAATATAATTCAACAAATCATCGGCGAGGAAATCATCGGCGAGGTAATCATTGCCTATTGCTGAAGACCTTGTTTTGAAATTGGATGGAATGAATAGTACGGATTCCTTATTGAGACAATCCAGAGTCCCTGCGGTGCTTACTCTAAGCTATCCGTGTTACTGAATTTATTTTACCTATATTTCAGGACCGCATTGAATATCAAAAGTTTGAACGAGAACGTATGCACTCGAGATGGACCAAGGTAAGTTGTAATTGTTTACTTTCATCAGCCTGTTTAAGCAATGATTTCCAAACATTAAGCTACGATTTCTTTTTCTTTGTCCTCTTATTCTTTTCTTTCTACTGCAAGATTTTTTTTGAACCGGTATTATCATGCCTTCGTTGTTCATTCGTCAACATGGGGTCCGTTTTGATGAGAAAGGCGTTTCCCTGATAGATAACTAGCGATAAAATTAAACTAATTGTTATGCTGAAGTGTATTTTAAGCTTTCTTTTTTTTTTCTTCCTCCTTGTTGATCGGTTGAAACAAAATGTACGAATTTGATATCCAGCTATCAATTAATTTGCTATAGGTTTCTCAGTGCTGACCTGTCATTGCTATCTAGTCTTTGTGTGACATGATGCCAACCGTTGATTTTCAGGAAAAAAATCCCTTGTATCAAGCTGCGAAGACTACATTTGAGAATCCAACTTATGCAGGTGGAAGGCAGTGACATGATGCTAACGAATCTACCAATCTGATCTGGGTCTTAAGTATTCGATTTCATGAATAAGTGTTTCCAAGGTTATAGGTAAAATTTTTCGCGATATTTAAGAAACGCAGTCATAAAAATACAGCTTGATCTCACAAAGCTAAAGATTTCACAACGTCAGCCGGTTCTCTTGCTCACGGCAGTCGCCGCACCCATGAAATGTTATGGACTGTTTTGTGAATCGGAGAGCAGAACTTGTTGCTAAAATAATACTATTCAAAGGACATTTGACTGAACGGTGCGCAAATTTACCATCTTTTAGCTGAACGGGATACGTTTGAGACCATTTATATATATTTTAGGAAGTTAGTGTTAGTTTGAATCACTTTTTAAAAATGTTTGGCAGTAAAGAGGATGTCTGCCAGACTGCAGTGCAGTGTAAGATTAACATGGTTTGCCACCCTACTTGATTAATACTGGAAATGGAAAATGTCATTATTATTTTATAACGGCAAGCGTCAATTCATCTATTCAGCAAGACTCGCGAATTTGTCTTTCGAGATATTTAGTGTTGGTAAATTTTTCGGATCATGTCAGGTAAAGCTGTGAGCCCATGGCGATTTTGCGACCCTAACCAATCCCAAAATTGAAATTAAAGTGGAATTCGTTTGCTCGTATCATTAAATTGTAAAGTATTTTTTGTATTTTTATAGTTATTATGTGGAATAAATTTCAGGGTCTTTATTATGTTTTTCATCATTGTTGAAGATGGGGCGTGTTTTTTCAAGAGTTCTGTGCCTTGGCAGATTTCTTATTTAAGCTTTAGTTGCAGCGTTGAATAACAGTGAATTTCTCATTAGCATTTAAGTGTCTTTTAATTTGCATCCCCACTTTGGAGTGACGAAGCAGTTTTGAAACAGGTTCTTAACCTTGACATTTAGTCCTTTCCTCGATATCATCACTAAATTTTAAACGCTGAAACATTCCGTGACTGTAAAACTTCTTTAAAGGAAATCACTTAGGTTAGAGGTCGACAAGGGCTAGATTGTTGTGGCCCGACATTATTATTATGAGAACAAAGCTTCCCTTAGGCCTTAGTGTAAGATTTACTAAATGATTTCAGACGACAAACAAAAGGAACAGTACCGTAACAATATAGCGACGCAGGTGAATTTTGCCACCTTGGTAAAATAGTTTGATCACATGATTGGAGTAACTTCAAAGGGCTATTCATGGGAGGGGTTTCGATTTGCGTGAGTTCCTCAATGAAGCTATAAACATGATGCATGATGAATAAAATACGACAAGCAGGTGAACCAGATCAAAGTTGGCAAGGAAATGTCGTCCTCGTAAGATCTGATTTGCAGTAGACTTAGTGTTTTTATTTTATTTTATTTGGAAACTGTTCGGTTTGTTTTCAGTAAAATTGGAGAAAATTCATTTATGAGATAGTACGTTCGTTTGCATGTTATGTATTATTTATTGCACCACCAGAAGGTATAAGGTTTGTGAAAGTGACATCTCAAAAAGATATTTGTTCATATTCAACGGTAAAGGTGACCATGTTTCGGATCCTTGTTCATTCTATGAGAGCATTTATCTTCGAAAAGAAAAAAACTCGATGAACGATTTATTTGAACTTTAGCAATATCATCTCGTAAACAATGACTACCCCCGGGTTATTATTTCAATAGTAATACATACCCTTTAATTTGAGTTATCAAGTCACGCCTTTTGTTTTTTTCTCGTGCGCATGTTATTGATCAGTTTTTAAACACCTCGTAGCCCGTACAGGGAAGTTGAACCCTTTCATGATCATTAATTGAAAACGAAATTAAACAGTAAACAACAGCTCAAAGCTGTCGTTGTCAGACACTTCAGTCCCGCAAATGACACGCGTAACATGGACTACACACGCTAGTGTGTTTGAAGTCTGGGAAAAATTTAAGGAAGAAGGCCCAAGTATTACATCTAAGACACTGGTATTATTCCTCGTTCTTCAAAGACTACCGACGGAGTGGACTTTGTATTCTGTAGTAAACGAATTATGTTGGTTGAGCTACATGTGGCTTACGAGGGCTCCATCTCACAGCTGACCATTAATAATAAAATACTTCACTCAGGTGCCAATTCATCACATCATCTAAACCGCAATATGTATGCAAATGTGGAATATGCGCGACAGGCGCAGCAGAACAGTGGAAAAACATTAAGACTGAACCAAACAGATCCATCTTGTCGGTTGCACTGTGCTGCGCCAACGAGACTTCAAAAGTATGGCTACAAAGCAGTCTATAAAACTATATGAAGTTGTAGCGGCAGTGGAGCATGAGGTTAGCTGTCCGGTTTGTTTGGAGGAATTTCAAGAGCCAAAATGTTTGCCAAATTGCGCTCACAATGTTTGTCAGGAATGTTTAGAGGAGATGGCATGTAAAAATTCAACCATGACAAGTATTGAATGTCCAGTTTGCCGAGTGGAGTCATTCATTCCAAACGCTGGTGTATCAGCGTTTCCAAAGAACCATCTGCTGGCTCGACTAATTGAAAAAAATCCCTCCAGAAAGGCCCATGATAATGAATTTATCAAAGAAGCGTTAAAAAGAAGTAGGGAAAATCTTGAAGGATTAAAGAACGCAGTCCAGGAAATGGATGTCCGCCGAAACTCAATAAAGAAACAAGCGGAAAATGTGAAAAAGGAAATCCAAAGTGCTGCAAATCATGTTATTGACATAATTCGTGATCAGGAACAGCAATTACTTCTTGAAGTTGATCAGTACATGAATAATAATTACCCGGAAACTACCTTCGACAAACAAAAGGAAAAACTGAATAATCTGCTAGCAAAGACCTCCAGTTGTGTTGAAAGCGTCCAAAAGAAGAAAGAAGGGGATAAACGTGTTTTGAGACAGGCGCAGCACCTAGAAGAACTGGCTAAAGTTGCTGGTATTCAAATTCTTTCAGCAAGGCGAAAATGTTTTCGAAAGTTTGAACTCACCTTTACTAAAAGCGACTTCTCTTTAAGTCCAGCGGAATCCATATTAGGAAGTCTGACTGTGAAAAGCGGAGAGGCCGATAGCGACAAGCATTCGCTAGCTGGCCTCAACGAAAGTTTTAACGACGAAAAAGTCTTGAGACATATTGATGGAGGTAGAATTAAGGTCCCTAACTTCTTCCCGTTCGCGGTGACAGTGTCAAAGAAATCCGGAGACATAGCCGTATTGGATGCTGAAAACAAACGCGTACATATATTTGATCGCGAGGGAAATCATCTCACCCAATTTCTTTTCATTTTTGGTGACTTTTGGGACATCACATATTCGCACAACGATGAGATTGTGGTTTTAAACAGGGAAAATAATTCACTGTTACATTATGATCGAAGTGGAAATCTGAAGCGCAAGTTCCCAACAACTCCCATGCCTAAAGTAAAGTTCACTTTTCTGTCGCACGATTCATCTGGGCGTTTGTTCGTGACGTCAAGCCCGAGATACCAAGAGCTCACCTCCGAAACGAATTCCTGCGTTCTGGTTTATAATGCTAATGGTAAGTTAGAATCCGTGTTTGGTGAAGGAAAGTTGTCTTCCCCTAAAAAGGCGGTGCTCCTCAATGGAGAATTGTTTGTGCCTGACGCTGACAGCAAGAGTGTGAAAGTCTTTAGCATCCAAGGAGAATTTCGTCGAGAAATTGGAAAGGGTATGCTCGAAGATCTCGCGGGTATTGCAGTTGATTCTGAGAATGGTCGAATCTTAGTTTGTGATTGTGAAGGCTACGCAGTGCATGTTTATAGCAGAGAGGGAACATTAATAAGAACCATTAGAACAGCCGCTCCACCGGTAGAAATCGCGTTGTCTAAGGACGGAAAAAAACTAGTGGTTTGTTTTGACGGGGATAAAGCAAAATATCTACAGATTCTATCGTACAGTAAGGAAGTGTTGCACACCTCTTGAACTGTAGGAACAACATCGCCATAGTAGCAAAGAAAAATTGATTCGCAATTTTCAGTAACTTATTAGTGAGATAGTTGAAGTCGTAGGGTTTAAGAGATGTTGCAGTCACACAATCAGTTTTAGACCTTTTTTAAATCAACAATGAAAGGTCACCGAAAAGATTTGAACTTAACATTTCATTCGTGAACATAGCACTGGTCTGAATAATTGTAATAAGAAATAGTTAAAGCCAAAAGAAAGTCGGAGACATAACTAATAGATAAATGCATAAAGATAAATTTAAATGTATAAGGGTAAACTGGTATCATCTACGATTAAAGTATTTCAAGCAAAAGAAGGCATCCGAGAGTGTTATACACTAATTTTTGCGCGCACATTTACTACCGAATTAATCTCCCTCGGCGTGATCGGAGATTCCACATCCATTTTTCCTTCAAAACTCCACTATTATTACAGATCCCCGACGTCCTTGAAAACAATCCTACGGGTTTCCTAATATTGTGTCCGTCGTACAAATTCTCCCGAACTAAGCTCGTAAGTAACTGTCTTTTTGTGGTACTAGACTGACCGTCCGATTTAATTGCTGTGGCAGGAAAGTAATTTTGCAAAATACTCAGAAAAGTACGAGTATTCTGCGTTGTTTTTACGGAAAGCCTCCAAATTTACGTTCAGAAGAGGGATTTCTTAATAAGTCTCCTTGTTGTACATCTCCTCCAGTTTGACCTAATGTACATTTTGAAACTTATGGATGGTTAAGGAAGAATCAAAGTCGTCGACATAAGTCGTGGATGCCAGAATGGAGCGCGAGGGCATTCAATCGAACTTGTGTGCCATCACTCATTCGCCATTCGTCCATTATTTCCTTCAAACGAAGCATTCTATCTGTCAGGCGGTCGTTTTACTGACAAAAATTTTAAGTCGTTTTTCTATGCTTTCTGTTGCAATGGTTTATGGAGTGTGTTAAAGAGTCAAAAAATCAAAAAATTTTCCCCATGTTGGTCTGAAGTAACCCCTTTGTAGCGCTGCTCGTTGGTCGTTATGAGCGATGTCATCCCGACAGGACAGCGGCTTTGGGTAGCTAACCTTATCGATTTCGTCTTATTTGATCAAATGTCTGAGTTTCTGATATATAAACGTCCAAATGTAAGGAAATAAGAGTAAGAATGAATTGATACTCTTACTCTATGTCCTTGATATGAAACTTAAACTAAATTCCTCTTGATGGGGACACTAGAAAAACACATTTTTAAATAAACAAAATCTATCAGCTGAAACTGAAGAATGGAGGTTACACACTGTTGAAGATGAATGATGCAGCTTTGAGACTCAGAGGATTGTTACTATCGATTTACATTCTGTCTGATTACCAGAGGAAACTGATTCAGGATCATCTCCGTCACGTCTCAAAGTCCGTCCACTTCCATCCAGCAGAGTTCTGGGAGAAGAGAAACAACCTGGAAACGAGACTGGTCATCACGCAGATGTCGTTTAATGTCACGAAATGTCACGTCACTTCAGAACTCCACGGTATTCACGCGAACATCATCAACGAACGATTCCACAAGAGCTGTTTTTCGATATACAATTCTTTTTTTCGTTAGTTGAATCTGATGATGAGTGATTTACCGAAAACATTTGTGGAAACGTTCCACAGTGTGGAAGCCGTCAGAAAAATGAAATATCAACCGCTCGGCAAGACAGGGATGAGTGTGTCTAAGTTAAGCTTCGGTAAGATACAGTAAAACTGTTATTTAATCATTACTTCATGTAATCGATGTAAGGAATAGAAATGTGTGGTATTGTATGCATGCGTGGTATTGAAAGAGAAAAATATTGTGTAACTCTTGAATCTTGAATTTAGATCGAGGCGGTTGGTTGAAACACCAAGTAGACAAGGAAGCTCTTGATTGTTAAACAAATTCTCCTCATCAGCATCGAAGGAAATTCATGACGAACAGTGTGTAGAGTATGCATACTGATAGAAAGAGTTCCATATAACCCCATACATTAATTATGCATTCATTTCATAGACTAAATATATAAAGGTTTCTTTATATTATATAAAGAATGTTAAATTATCTCATGTTTTGATCATTTTTGTGATAGATAGGCTACCATGATAGTAACCTTACAGGCTTTTAGAAAAGCATATTTTTAGCAATAATTGCAATAAGTGAAAGTATAGAAACAGTTCAGAGCTCCCTTAAATTATGAAATCATTAATGTGTCTCTAAACTTCTCATACAATGTAGCAGTGAAAAAAGGGGGTACTCCAAGCTGGAGTTTAAGTCACAGATAGACAAAACCAAAAGTGTGGTTGTTACCACATTGTGTATTGTTGTTTACTAGATATATATTTATTTTAAGATAATTTTAACAGATTAAACTCTGCAACCCCAGTAATTAAGGATCTCCCCAGAAGAGGCACTTTGTATGAAAGAAAAATATCAATAAGTTCTTTCCCTGATAAGTGTTGTGTCTACATTTATGAATGGATGAATTTTTATGTCTTGTCAAGTGATGTATCAATTTCAATCTAGAAATTCTGGCTTGCTTTTGATAATGACAGGGGCATCATCACTTGGAAGTGTCTTTAGAGAAACTGATGATGAAGAGTCCATTAAAGTTGTGCATCATGCAATAAAAAGTGGTATCAACTATATTGATGTTGCTCCATGGTATGGTCATGGTAAAGCAGAGACAGTTTTAGGCAAGGTTTGTAGTAATTTTCTGTTTGATTAGTTGTTAGTTCTTTATTACTAGGTATTCTTTGTTACCCTTTCTCTCTGAGATGGACACCATCAGCTAGGACAAACAGCAAGTTTTAGTTGAGTTAAAATCACAGTGATTAATCTTTTCTGTTTCACATTCAGGCTTTGAAAGATATACCTCGTGAGGCATATTATATTGCCACAAAGGTAACAACTAGTTACACTGTCTGATAAAGTTGCAGTTTTGCTGTACATCATCTTCTTTAACTTGGGTCACCCAAACAAAAGACCATGAATTGTTTGAGTATCTTTAATTGTGATATGTAAAATAAATGCTTCCTTGACCAAAGTAAAATTAATATAGGATACATTGTTTTCAAATGTTTTAAGAATTTCAAACCTGAAGTGATAGTTTATCATGTCTGATGGCACAGTTTCTTAAATAGACCATTGTTCAAAATTAGCAAATAGTCACATATGATTAAAAGTGTTGGAATTAAATTCCTATCAAAAAGTGTTTGTAGGAAAGTTCTACTCTCCATTTTAAGTCACTGCATATCTCAAAGGTTTACAGTGATTTCATAGGCTATTCTTTAGCCCAATGCATTTTTGATATCTTATAAATGTCAAATGGCTTTTTTCATAGGTGTGTCGCTATGAGCCTGATATGCAAAAGATGTTTGATTTTTCTGCTGAAAGAACATTACAAAGTGTTGAAGAAAGCTTGAAACGGTTGGGTCTGGATTATATTGACGTAATTCAGGTATTTCACTACAGAATTGAAAACTTCTTGGACGTAATTATATATTGAAGTTTTTAAACAAGAAATAAGGATTTGTAATAGCTTATCATAGGAATGCCAAACAGTTTGACTAGCAAGTGCTCATATTTCAGGCAATGATCAGTGGATCATATTTGTGTTTTCTGCTAATTGTTTTCTGCCAGATTTCTTCAGTTGATACTTTCTCTTTATGTAACATAAGGGTGCATGTAAACTAAGTACGACCAATTTTCAAAGAATATACTGAGTGTGTATATTGTGTTTGTACCACCTTATGATGAAGTAAGGGACGGTACTTTCTTGCAATATACTCATTTTTTTCTCCTTTTTTTCTATCAGCTTAAAGAAATACACTTTTCTGGTCTACTTTTTCAGTCTTAGAATTTAATACCGAATACAAACCAAATTGAATTTCTGTCACGAGTAAAACTGTCACTTAGGTCAATGTGATGTCAGTTAAGCTTTGAAACCAAAAGATCTTACAATATGACTTTTTCTTCTACTGAAACCTTTAATTGCCTTATGAAATACAACTTTCATAATTTCCATTGTTTTACCAACAGTTTTAATTTTTATGTTTTTACCTTGAGGGAAATATATAATTATATATTTGGATGTTGCTGACTCATAGCTTGTAATATTAATAATAATTTTTATTTGTGTTAATTCTCGGTCTGTACAGGTTCATGATATGGAGTTTGCTCCTTCATTAGACATTATTTTTGGCGAGACATTACCTGCCCTTCAGAAGGTATTAAAAGGGTAATTGTTTACAACAAACCTTCACAAAGATTGTTATCAGTGGTATTTAGAATACATGTAGGAACAAAAATCATGCAATAGTGGGCTGGTATAATTATTGCACTCCAATACTTTATTCCAAAGTCTGATATTGAAGTTAAAAAAATTTTGGGATAATTGTCATTTGCCAAAATCTGTAAGCTGAGCATTGTCTTCTGTTTTCACTAGATAAATTCTAATAATTTTTTTTCTGGTTCCAGCTCAAAGAAAGTGAGAAAGTGAAGTTTATTGGAATAACAGGATATCCATTAGAAAACTTTCGGTGAATACATATGTTGTAGTTTTTTTTTTTTTTAACTTTTTACAAGCTATGTATCTTTCTAGTTTAAAATTAATTTAATTAAACCTGAAAATAATTTTAAATAGTTAATTGTCTTTCCTCAGGATGTAGCAATTCCAATTTTCATTGTACTCTGATGATAGCAACAACTACCTGATCATTTTCTTGGAAAGAATTTTTAAAACAGTCAGCTTCTTGTATCAAGACAGCTGTTTTTTAATGTTTCTGAAAATCATTTCATATTTGCCAATTACTGTTTGATTCATCTACAGGACTGTTCTGGAAAGGAGTAAAATAAACATTGATACAGTGTTGACCTATTGCCGTTGTTCACTAAATGACATTGGATTGTTAGATTATGTAAACTTCTTTAAAGTAAGAATTTAAGCTACCTTTACATGAAAATATTGTTAGAAATCAAATGAGCTTTAGGCTTTCCATCACTTATGTCTGAACCTTGATATGATGGATATAGCTTTTCTGTCCTTGTCCTCCAGGAATGTTGTCTTAATCCCATTACCTAGCTAACAAATATCTACTCCACCTTCAGTGAGTTAATTATATTTAGATCTTAGGATTACAATCTGTGCAGGTTAAGAACCAATGAATACCTTCATTACAGAACAGTTTAGGTAATAAAAATAACTTTAAGTTATGATGTATGAAGCGAAAAAAAAAATTAATGTGATAAAGGAAATACACCAAGTTACCAAGTACTTTTGATTCATCGTGATTTCTTCATCATTTGATTTGCCTGAGGTAGTGAGTTGTTATAATCTTGTTCCTTTCATTTAAAATTAATTAAACCAGTATGTGGATTATTTTTGTGTTTAGGAGAGTGGAGTTGGAATTGTGAATGCTTCTCCTGTATCAATGGGATTATTGTCTAGCCGTGGACCTCCCTCATGGCATCCAGCAGGGGAAATTGTGAGAAAAACATGTAGAGAGTCTGTTGATTACTGTCAGGTGTGTTTTAATGTATAAAATGCCTTCAGTTTAACCTTGGCATTTCATAAATTACAAAAGGATTATTTAGCATTTTAGTATCCATATTCATCATCCAATGCGCTGGGTCAGCTCTTAAAAATGAAGGGTTAGATGCACAAACAATCCTAGCCAATATTCACTGGAAGGATTTTTTTCATCAGATTCTATGTTTAGAATTGCTATTATAATAATGATGTTAGTTGCTAGTCAGTTATGGAAATATTTTAATCTTCTTTTATTTTTTTTGCTGTTTTGCACATGCTTGTTTGTTCGATTTTTCAAGAATAATCACCTCTTAAACAAAAAACTTCCACTTTCTTTGTAAAATCAATATAAATTTGCCTGACTTAAATTACAGACTAAAATATCATTTAATAATGTCTTAGAGTTGTCTTAGCTGTAAAGTAACATAATTTGCCTGAGATTTCTCTGTTCTATGATTTTGAAACACCTAGACTATCTTTGTGCAAAGGTTTTTTTTTCACCCGCTTTTATTCAATGAATATAAAAAATATTTTTTGTCTAATTTTCTTAAAGGAACAAGGGGTTGATATCTCCAAGCTAGCACTTCATTTCACCCTGGGTTTTGAAGAAATTCCAACTACCTTGGTTAGCACTGCCAGCATTCAAAATCTTCAGAAAAATATTGATGCTGTTAGTCAAGAATTATCAGAAGCTGAAAGTAGATGTCTGCAGTATATAAGGGACAAGTATGTAGGTTTTTCTTTTTTTGTTTTGTGTGAATTGTGACAAGATAAAAAGTAGAATGACTTGCAAGGGAAAGCATAAAATGTCAAGCATAGATGGTGTCCCACAAGAGGCAAGATCTCCTGCAAACTAAATTTTCATAGCTCTGTACTCATGATGCAAGTCATGAATGTGGAACAATTTACTGGTTGTAGTGAAAACAAAGAGACCAAAGACCTGCAAAGATTGCTTTGATGATTATTTCTTAACCAGCAGTTCACATATATGATTTTCCTATATTCACAGTCATTTATTCATCACTTCATGGGTTTATTACAAACCATCATAATGACCAGCACCCAGTTGGCTCATTTATTAGCTCAGTTGGTAGAGCCCTGCACTGGTAAAATTTGCAAAGGTCATGGGTTTAATTCCAGTACAGTCCTGAATTTTTTTTCAGGCCTTACTTTCACAACTGCTTATTAAATAAGTAGTGTTCATTACTGCAAAGATGGATTTGATATTAATTTCTTAACCGGCCGCTGTTTAGATAATTATATTATGATTTTCATATGCTCACAGTTAGATCTAAAATAAGACCCAAAAATGAAGACCCTAAAAGGAAGACCTGAATAACTTAAAGACTGGAAAATGAAGACCCCTTTATTTTCTTTATCTAACGTGATCTTGTTATGGTTTCTCCTTGGAAATATACAGTTCTGGATTTAATCTTTGTAGCATTGATAAAGCATGTACTCAAACAATGGCTCATATAATTCCCACTGAACTAAGTGCCACTGAGAACTGTGTGAGAACTGTTGGATTCAAGTTTCCTTGTTAATTCATAATCAGTCTTCATCTTTGAGTGTGGTACTGTAAGTGATGGGACTTTTCCCAGCTGACCCAATGTCAAATAAAAACTGGAGGAAAAGACATCATCGCTATTAATGCGTTAATGGTGGAGATTAAAGTGAAGCTCGATTGATTATATCATTGACTATGGCCTGCTTAAGATTGTCCAAGTCCTTGTAAATAAGATTGAATGTGCTTGTTCAAAATTCCATACTTAAAATACAGAGTGAGCCTATAAAAAGACCCCATCTAGCATTTTGTTGGCTTCAGTTTTAAACTAATGTTGGAGTAACAGCCATGCAAAAGAAAGCTACACAAAGTTTTCATTTTAATTGCTGGGTACATAATGTTAGTGTGTACTGAGGTTAATAAATTATTTTTATTCCCATCTCTTACAGTATTTTTAAGCCAAGTGGTAATCTTTCATGGGAAGGTGTAGAAGTCTCAAAGTATTGGCAGAAGATTAAGCAGCTTCAGAATTGACACTGTACTTGTGACTCAACTGTGTTGACACACTATGGCAGCTTTCAACTTGTTGTCTTTAAAAAAAAAAACAACTGTATCTTTAAACATAAGTTTTGAATATTTAGTACCCTTTTGTCTAAAAGTAATTGTCTTAATTTATAATGGTAATTGAACTGAGTGGAGTGCAATTTGGGCTGAAATCATACGCGTGATTTCAAAATCGAACGTGCGCGCAGCGCAAGTTCAGTTTGAAACCACGAGTATGATTTCAGAGTGACCAAAATTGCACAACACGAGGTTCAATTACCAATTTATTACATCCATTTTGAAATCGCCCAAATACAGGACTTGGTCAATTCAAATATTTTATTGATGCAGAACTGAGCCAGTTTCTAAATAAAAAGTGGAACTGGAAACGCTTTTACATCTTATTTTGTATGCAACTCAGAAAGACTTTGACGTCATGTGTCATAAACTCAGTCAAGCATAAAATGATGCGATTTAGAGCAAAAAACGGTGCGATTTGTGATTAAATTGCACTAATTAGAGCCAATCAGATTACAGGGACCACCAGTGATTTCAAAATGGATGTAATAAAATAAATAATGTCTTAAGTTTCTCAGTTCCTTAAGTGTTAGCACATCCATTCTTTTGTATTGTATGATGAAAAAGGTTATTAAATAAATGTGATTCATATTCCATTAGAGTTTTTCATAATGACAGCTGCCAAAAGTGGAAACTTTTACTTGAGGATGTTTGCTGGCTTGTAAATGTTATTTATTTGAATTATCAAAGACATGCAGATTTATCTTGAATCTTTGAGCTGAAGTTCTCATTGCATTTTAAATTTTCTATCAGAAAGTTTCCAGAAAATGTAAAGTTTTATTTATTATGATGTTAAAATATTACATTTAAGAAACTTTTAAAACTTTGGCAATCAGTTACTGGTAATAAAACAAGGGGAGGAAGGGGTGTAGGAGGAAGAAATGGTAACAATTCAGGCTTCTTTTCTGGAATTTCTTTAAGTGTAGCTCACCTGTGATTAGACTCCTCTATGAGAACAGAGAACTTCTGAAATTTGCCACCCACTTGTGAGAATCATTTCAGTACATGCTCATGGTTTGTAGTTAAAAATTTGATTCATTACATTTAAGTGTGATCAGAACCCTTACGATTTCAACCTTATGATACTGTTAAACGCGACCGAATATATCCACATAGATGTCTGCGCTATATAAAATAATGTAAAAATGTAATGTAAAATGTAACCCTTACTGGGAGAAAAAAACCCACTAAAATTAAATAGCTCCCTCCTGAAATGTTTCTCCTCAGTTGTATATCAGAGGCACATAATTTTAATCTAGCCTGAGTGAAGTTATTTGACTTAGATTTGAATCTGTACTTATTCAGATAGAACATTTTAATTATAACCTGAAGTGTCTTTGAATAGAGCAAAATTAAATGATATTTACTCTAAAATGTCCTGTAGGAAGGTGGAATCATCTGGTAGAATTTCAATCTCAAGTCAAAGTTTTTAAGCATTTATTGATAATAACTACTTGAGTACCCACACATGCATTTACAAAATAGTTGTGCCTCCTTACTTTTGTCAATAAATAATAATTATTACAGCAACTCTTCTTGATGAAAGGATATCAACTGCTCTTTAATATCGATCAAGAAAAATTTGAAATGAAATATTCTTAAATATTATGTTTGATCTGTACATAATATCTGGGATAAAAAGCAACAATAACACACAAAAGAGAATTCTATACAAACAAATTAAATAATCTTGTTCATTTCATTTTACCTCTATGTGATTGTATAAAATTTCAGTCAATAGCACATTATTGTTTGTAATTCATTATCAAAGAGTAGTGAGACATGTTTTGGAATAAACTTTTAGAGAGTGAATACTGTCTGGTCTGAGATTTTTGAACTAGTGTATATGTACCACACAGGTGAAAAGTACTTTTCATGCATGCTGATTGGCTGCTTCAAAGTGATTAGCAATTATTATTCACCTCCAAGCAACCAAGGAGATTTAATTTCCAACCATTTTTTGGTCAATAAACAGATGAACTAATTTTTTTTCGGTTTATGTGTGGTACACATACTTGATGAACAATTATTCACCTCAGTGTTGGTGAAAGTGGTAGATATTTATCTTCAGTTGCCACTTTGCGGCTCCACATCAGTGAATAATTGTTAACTTTTGAACAGTAGAACAACCTTTACTGCAGTCTTTGACATAAGTTCAAGTCATATGACTTTGATGTACAGCTGTAGAATCCTGGATGATGTGATGCACAATGAGTTGTGGCATGTTTTGCCTGTCACTATGTCATGTAATCCTCAATTGTATTTATATACATTGGGACTAAATTCTGCATGCTCAAGTCAGTTTCTAGATCCTGTTGAGTTCTTTGCTATGCGCTGTTACTTCTAACCAGTCAATTGTTTTATCGTCAAAAATGTCAGGCCTTGCAAATTGTTCAATCTTATCTTGGGGTGAACACCATGGAAGCTGTTTGGCTATCTGTCTCATCAGAGCACTTCCTGGGGTGCGACCCTTATTGTATGGCTGAAAAATTTTGTGAAAGAGAAATGAAGAACAGTCTCGACTATGTCAAGTTGAGTAAGACGAGGAAACTTGTACTTTGCTTTGATAAGCATTGTACAATTGCACACATGTGATGTCAGTGAAAATCCAGAATGATCAAGACAAACAGTGGAATTTAAAAGTAAGCTAAGACTGTCAATTGAAAGAAAATTGTGTTTGTAGCACTTAGCACATCCACGGGTAGAGTCTGGGGGGTTTTGAACCCCCCTCCCTCTCATCAGACCTGTGGGTGTAGCATTCACACTGAATCCAGACTTTTAAAAAATCGAACTTTTTTAGATCGCAAAGTTAGTTGGAGGAAATTTAAAGACTGGGACTGCATGACACAAGGAAAAAATTTTCTGTGACAGGTATGCATGATGATTGACCCCCTGAGCTATATCCAAACAAGATTCCATGATGCGTTTCACTAGAGTCATATCACACAAATTCCAACCTGTCCAGTATCTTGTTGTGGCAATGTACTGCTGAATACATTTTATGTCCAGGGGATGGGATAGATAGGAAAGGAGAGAGGGACAGAGAGGGTAGGAAGGGAGGGGTTGGGTTGTAACCTATTTTTAATTAGTAGAAGAACAATTTAGATCCACTGATTGATACTACAGGGAGCTGTTAATCAAAGATATTAATAATTCCATGACAGTCCAGCCTCCTTCATCTCCATTTTCTCCTTATATTTACAATAATATCATAATGAAATAAGTCATTCCTGATCACTAACACAAATAATATAAATACTGTGCAGTAAGTTAATATGAGATGCATAATAAGGCAAGAAAGGTGTTGGTACTCAAGGTAATTGGCCACACAGGCACTGAATTATTTACAAGGTTTCCATCAACTTGCTTTACACTACTTACCCCTTTGTGTAGGATGAGTGCCTTATCCCATTCAGGCTCCTCTTCTTTGTAGGTTATCATCTGTCTTCTATAACCATCCTTAAAATTTATAAACTGATCTATATAGGCTAAAGAGGGGATTAATAATAAAATTAATAAGATTTTGGTCTGTAATCATACGAGTGATTAACAAAATTGGATTAGCCTGTGTACAGCCGCTCCATCCCCTTGAAAAAATCGGGGAGGGAGCTCCCTCCCTGATTTTTTTGAGGGGATGGGGTGGCTATAGCAGGCTAAATTGGATGACCACAGAGCAGGATGAAGTCTGATTTGTTAATCATGAGTATGATTGCTAACAGAATTGGACAACATAAAGTTCTGTAACCAATTTATAAAAGCTATGGTAACATTTGAGAAAGAAACTAGACATCAGTTATACATTTTCATGAAAAACAACAATAAACTCTGCAAAATGCCTGAAAAAAGTATGTGCACATGTCAGGTATTGGCTATTTATACACAAGCATGACAATGATGTCAACTGTCCTACTACCCTGTCCAATTACAAGCATGATGCCTACACAGCTGCCCTATGAGAGCTCAAACTGAGTTATCTAATTGATTAATTTGATGATTAAACATAAAATACAGTCTGTCAAAGCAACATTACATTATTTAGAAATTATAGGTTGGTAATCAGGTTTCATTTTTGCTAAGATCGTGTTTATTACACTGTAATTTAGCCATGTCAAGATCATAATTTCTTGTGAATTTACCTTTTTGAAAATTTTCACACAGATGAATTTAAGTGATGAAATTCTTATAAATCAGAGAAGCATGACTTTGTCTAAAGTATGGAGCAGCTTAAGTCCAAACACTTTATATGCAGTTTTAATTCTTTTCTTCGTGACGTTCGTGACAATCAATATCATTTAACTCGATGGCAAAGCCTGTTAAATTACATTAAAATTGAATTACAATCAAAAATTAAATTAAATTGCTGATGTTATATTTAGAATTAGAATATCGCTGAGGTTGTGCTGAGCATACTTTCCATTTAAGTGTATTAAATTGGAACACCACACTTACGGTCATATAGAACATTTAATGTTCTCGACTTGAACTTCAGATTTCCTGGATCATGATCGTAAGTAGTCTCAAACTCTGGCAAACCATACTTCTTTGGATTTTCCAGCTAAAAAAAAATCACAAATTTGGAGTATGTCCATATATTTTTAACTTACTGTCCCAGCCTATTATCTGCTCAGATTTGGCAGAAAAAATTTCCTTTGTAGAAAATTTGGTAGCTCAGTAGTCAGTGCACTGGATTCCTAATGAGAAGACGAGGATTTGAGCCCTGACTGGGTCACTTTTTAGTTCCTGGGCAACATGCTTTACTCCTACATTACCCCACTCCACCCAGGAGTATTATGGTACTGCCAAACTATCAGAGAAACCAGATAAAATATGGAACAAAATGTGGCATCCCATCCGGGGTGGAGTGGCAATTAATAAAACTTAGTTGCCTCATGCCCTGTCATGATGTGCCATCTCGTTTAAAATTAGCTGACATAATTAAGCTTATAATAATTTTTTCCTTTCAAATTTAGAGGTGCAGAGAGAGAGAGAGAGAGAGAGAGATCACACCCCCCCTGTCCAAGAATTCAGTGGGTTACGATAAAAAAGCCTGACAGTAAGGTATCCTCTGTCTTGAATCATGACCTGGTGGGTGAAAACTCGCGTCAGTGTGCACTTTTATGTCGCTCTTTTATGAAACATTAATGAGATAACATTATAACACATTTCATTTAATTGATTACCAAGGTATACAGAACTTACCGGTCTGAAGTCATCCCCTCTGAAGGCATGTGGCCCTGGAGTGACATAAGGATCACGTTCATGTACACCTTCCCTAACGTACTTGATTTTGGCTGTATGAGAGTCCGGAATACGAAAATGAGTAGAGAAAGGCACCTTGTGTGATACCGGGGGCTGCAGAATTTTTGGTAAAACACTAGGTTTAAATTCAATCCTCTGTTTGGTTCTCTCCTTTGCTCTTTCATTCCACTCGTCTTCGTTGTATCCTGGTATCATAGATTCTCTTGTGTTTCGTTTGGGAGGCTTTGGACGGTAGATTTGAAGTGTGAAGTCGGGTGGCTTAATGTCCCATGGAGTTCGGTTTTTCAATTCTTTTTCCTTGAGCATTCGTTCACGCGCACGCTTTGATTCCAAGAAACAGTCACTTCGGGAACGGATCAGGGTCTGCGTGACATTGAAATCAACTTTAGAGCGATAAGTAACTTGCACTGCTCCACATCCACTGTTCTTTTGCATCCTAACGTCCTAATGGTGAAAGTCACTTGTTGATTCTTGAATGAATAGAACTGTTATAAAAATAACCCCAATTAGTTTCTTAATGGTTCTAATTACAAGTTACTTGTAATCACCTTGAAATTCGAGCTTGTGACTGTTTTAAACAGCCTAGACAAGTCAGAACTTCAAAACTGCACTCATCGCCAAAAACACCACGGAAAAGAACAAACTAGTAGCTATTATAAAATTCTGTAAACATTCGGTCGTTGCCATGACTACACGCAAGAATATTTACTGAGCACGGCCAAGCGTTCCCACCGTCGTACCACCGAGGACACCTCCAATGCCATATTTGACGTAGTTGACTCAATATTAGTGTCCGTTGGGATACCACTTGTTGCAGCGTCGATTTATTGTTCATTCGAGTACAAAGCAAAATATTTGCAGGAGATGGAAGAGTTTCACAAACGCTACTCTAGAACATGTCGAGAACATCACGTATTTCCATTGGAAGGTGTTCTAAATCATATTCGAAGCTATTCAGATGACGAATTGATTAGCGAAGGTAAATCAACTCCAGAGAGTGGGACGAAGTTAGATCTTTCCTGTTGTAATCTAACTCCAGAGGACTGTAATGCACTTGTTAGTACTCTTACAGACGACCTATTCTTTGAAGAGCTAAATTTATCCGACTGTTTGCTTAGTGAAGAATCAAGCAAAATCATTCTTAGAGGCTTGATGGACAACAAGGCCGTCAAACGGTTGAACTTGAAAGGGAATAACATTCGCTCAGGGGCTGCAGAAATCTTGGGTCAGTTCCTTAAGAGAAACGGGTGTGTTCGCAGTCTACTTATCGAGTGGAACTCGCTTGGCTTGTGGAATAATGGAATGAGAGCTATTTGCGAGGGACTGGCTCACAATCAAGTGTTACTATTTCTCGATTTGAGGAATAATCAGATTACCCATGAAGGAGCAAGTCAAATCGCGGTTGCATTAAAGCGTAACCAGTGTTTAAGAGGTCTAGATTTACGCTGGAATAATGTCGGCCTCCTTGGTGGAAGGGAATTGCTGGAAGCTTTAAAGTTTAACAAAAGGCTTGTGGGGTTAGAACTCACAGGTGAGGTTTTCTATCCTCTTTTGAATGGAAGTTGGGGGTATACCTATCACAGAGGAAAGGGATTCTCAAAAACTGGGTTGGTGATGATTATCTTTTATGATAATACTCCTGGACCCAGTTGTATTAAGAGCAGATAATGCTATCCAATAAATAAATTGATATCCCGTGGATAAGTGATAGAAAAAATGTATAGCGTTATCCACCGGATTGAGATTTATCCAGTGGATAGCATTATCCAACTTTTGAACAACTGTGGCCTTTAGTCCACAGACTAAACTCACCTTCAGTTAATATGTTATTTTTTTTTTGTCCTGTTTGATATTTTGTGTTAGTATTAGAGGAATTGTCCTCTTTGATAAAAGAAAGTAAGAAAGAAAGAAAGAAAAAAGGGAGGGAAAAAAGCACTGATTTCACAAATGATTACTTTATAGTGGGGAGTAGAGTAAGGTCGTGTTTGACTGTCAACTAGAGACTGAGAGCAAAAGTAAAATCACTGAGAAATTATTCCATGTAGTGTTTATCACAAAATTTTGGAAGTTACAATCTGCTTTCAAACTGATCCAGGTTTTTTTTATTATTTGCTTCATTGATGTCATTTAACATCCACACAGGGAACAACATTCCTCAAGATATTGTTCAGGCTTTGTCTGTTGCTATCCAACAGAACAGTGACAGACAGGTAACTTTTGAAGAACATCAGGCACAAACTGAGGCTTTAGCAAGAGAATTAGAAATGACACAAGAGCAAAAAAGGCAGGAGGTATGCTCTATTACCATTAAACTGATGACTAATCGTAAAACAGAATATGGTCATTCCACCCTTAAGGGTGCTTCTCTTTTTATTTTCAAAATGTAAGTAAAAGCATCTTACTGTATTTTGAATAAAGTGAAGGTGGAAATCTGAGGTGTTCTATCTGGCTGGAGCTGGCTGGAGCTTATCTCGATTTCCACAGCATAAAGTGACTACTGGAGTATTGATATTCCTCCTGGTTAGGACGCTTGTTCAAGGCAGATCACACCTCCCCCACCACCTCCAAAAATAAAGCATTTGTTTGGCTTCCCCAACAGATTTTAGTCTTTATTCAAACTCCACTAAGGTGGAGTGTATTATCCATGAGGGTATAATCTTGCCCAAGAACTTAAGTTAATGACCCAGCAAGACACAAGGACCTCTCAAGCTAGAGTCCATCACATGAAGTGTCAGGCATCCCTGATTGAGCGATTCTATTTGGTGCATATATACATTATTCACATTTCCTAAGCTACAAGAATTATATGGAATGGTACACATGTTTTATATTCAAATCCAGATCTCATTATTTTTGTCAGGTGTCAAGTTTGAAAGAAGAAATTGACCAACAGAGATCAAGTCAGGAACAGCTTAATAGAAGTATGCAAATCAAGATAGATCACTTGAGAACAGCTTTGGATGAAAGGAAAGCAGCATTTGATTCTCTATCATCTAAGTTGTCCACCACTGAATCGGAATTACTTTTGTCAAGAAAAATGTTCTCTGAACAGAAGCTTGCAGTAAAAACACTAACTGAAGAACTGCAAGAGGAAAAGGAAAGCAAGGCTGCAACAGAGCTCCTCCACAGAGTGAAGATGAATGAGGTTCTAGAGAAAAACCAGGAGTTAGAAAACACAATCAACATTCTTGAAAGAAGAAACAAGAGCCATGAGAATAAGATATGTACTTTAGAGAAAGATATTGAAACCATGGAAACCCAGTTTGCAGATAAGGGAAAGGCTAGTGATCAAAAATTCCAGGAAGAGCTTCTAAATACTGAAAGAAGGCTACAAAAAGAAGTGAGCAATCTTCAAGAGAAAGCTCTGGAATATCGTGAAACTATAAAAGAAAAGATAATGAAGTTGGAGGAAGAGAAGAATGCATTTGAAGAAGAAGTTAGCAGTTTAAAATCTCAGTTGGTGTCATTGAGGATCTCCTCGGATGAAGAACTCCGAAACACAAAGACAAGGTTAAAACAAGATGAAATTACTAGGTCCAGACAGTATGATGAGCACATATCTCAGATCCAGCAATCACAGAGTGAGCTTCAAATCCAAAACACAAAACAGTTAACTCAGATCACAGATTTGCAGTCTCAGCTTAACTCTGCAAACAGAGACAATGATGTGTTTAGAAGGCAAATAGAAACTTTGAAGCAGCAAGTGGAACAGAAAGATGCAGATTATAGAACTGAGGTAAATCGGTCAAGAATTGAACTTGACTCAGAAAGGAAAACTCAGTCTGAGCTGCGAGATAAAATTTCTGACTTGGAAAGTAGAATGATGGAAATGACCAGAAGACACCGGGATGCAATAGGCATAATGGAAAGTGAATTGGAACACCTAAAGGAACAGCTCAGATGCAAAGACAATGAAATCAAAAGAATTCATGATGAAGAAATGAAGAGAGCTGAACTTCTAGAGAAAGCCATATATAGCTATGTATCCAGCACTAAAAATTCTTCACTCTCTCCTCACTGATCTTAGTGGAGTCACTCTTAGATTGGCAATGTACTTATTATGATTAAGGCACTGGCATCATTCTGCTATTTCTCAAACAAAGGTTTCCATTGATAACTCAACAACTGGTTCACTCATTTCAATGTGAAATGATCTGAATATAACCTCAGTTTAACCTTAACATATTATCTTGCTTGAAATTGCAGTCACTGTGTGGTATTCCATGCATCATAAAGTTGCTAAACTTTTGGGCCATTTTCACTGCACCTTTGTACTTAAATAATTTTACTTGATACAAACAAAATGTTTTGGTTAAAATATGAAGTTTTTAGCATAAATAAATAAATAAACATAAATAAATAAACATAAATAAATAAACAGAAGTTTTTAGCGCAAATAAATGGTGTTCTTAAAAGCTGAATGGAAAATTGTAGTTGCAATCTGGAAAAATTGTACAATGATGAAGAAATGAAATTTCCATTAGGATGAGGAATTCCCATTAGGATGAGGAAAGTCAGCCATTGCAAAGTTATGTCCAAGTATCAAGTAATCAAAATAGCAAGAAGGTCTTAATTGTTGCCCTGAGGTTACATTTGGAAAATGCACTTTTCTCTTTTAATCTAGAATCTTGAAACCAATGGACTATGGGGTTGCTGAATAATGAATCTTTAATTAGTAATTATTCCATAATTTACAGAGTAAGCTGAGTGTTCTGAGTGTTACCTTGTTTCTAGTTCTTAATCATGTTATCAAAATTTTCCTTTAAGTAACCTGAAATGTAATACAGTGTTCAAATTTTATTTTCCCATCAAGGCATCCAAGACCTAAAATTTTAAAAAATTCATATTGTTAGTTGTGTGGCTTTTCAAAGCTTAGATAACTGAAAAAGGGGTTTTAAACTATTATGGAGCAAAATAGGATTGTACGTAGCATACTTGATAACACTAAGAGTGAATAGTTTTCCTTACAAAAATTGTATTGTAATTGTAGCTTGTAAAAGGAACCTTAATTACACTTTCTATTAAAGTGATGTTAATATACAAGACTCTGCTTTAGTCTTGATAAGTCCACACTCCTTTTCTAGAGATTTAACTTAAAGACAGATATAGTTTGTAGAAGTGGAAAGGACATTCTGTGTCTTTCTGTGTGTGAAGAGTTGTTCTAACAGTCTTTAAATGACCCAATAAATGCAGAATCCTTGATAAGTTAATTCCTGGTCATTTTCTTTGAGACTGGAGTTTCACATCATAAGGCAAGGATCTTTTGTCAGATTCAAGGTATGCCTGGTGACACTCAAGGGTGTATTCATTGAGAAAATCTTGGGATAAGAATGATGCTTTGAAGTCAGTTAAAAAGTAGGCAAAGCAAGGTACAATATCCCCTTCTTGAATTCCTGTTGCTCCTTTAGTTGTGACAATGTCACATTTTGAACGCTTGTACCATGTTGGATGATCTTCTAAATCATCTAGTTTACTCAGAACATTCTTGTCAACTTCATATATCTCACCATGGACTTGCTGATACATAAAAGATAACACAAACCAGTCATTGGTCAGAAAATAAAATGAATGATTTTGATTCTAATCCCTTAGAGAAGTACCCTCTCGGATATTATGGGCTCAAACAAAGTAGTGTGAAGTCTTCATTCTCTTGCCATTGTAGCCTGAAGTATGAAAACTGTGAAGGAAGCACCCACTATTCTAAATCCTTGTTTGAGAAAGAGGATTGGATGCATTGAAAGAAAATAAAAAACATTGGATCTTTGAAAGACTGAAACAGTCACCAAGAGTACTATGTGAACCATTTTGTTAACAAATTTATCCCTTTAAGTCAGAGGTCAGACTGTGGTGACAATTTCATCCAGCAACTGTTGAGAAGTTCAGTTTCTCCCCAGGGCTGGAGTAACTTACATTATAATCTTACCACTCAGATAGTCATGCTAAGTGTCTTCCACTGTTTAATGTTATTATGCTGTTTGATGTAAATGCTGTATTTAAGTACCTTTCCTTGATTTTTCACTGGAAGCATAAAAGGAATGGATGCATCTGTCCCAACAACAAGTGGGAAAACATCCTTGGTATGTCCAATAGTTATAAATCGTGCCACTCCATTTCTCCCATCCTGCATGAGGTAATGGTTTGCAAATCCTTTTTTCAAGGTCCCATAGACAAACACCTTAATTAATTCCGTCATCACCTTTTCCTCTGTGTAATCATACAGTCCTAAGAATACCAAACAAAAAGACTGACATGTACTGATCCGTAAGGATGACCACAATATTAAATTACATATTAAAGATTCCTAAAATAANTTAATACCCGCTCTGCTGTCATTCATTAATTCGAAAAAAATAGCTGAAATTGCATAATCTGGCGAGAACTTGAAAACCCTGTGTTATCCATGCATAAAATCACCTATCAGCGTTATAGTACCCTTTTAGATCCTCATCATAACAATATTTGTTAGCCTTGTCGATTTATCGATTAGTTAACATTAATTTCCTTTATTGTTCTACACTTTCAACTTTCACCCATAAATTTAAGTGATTTTTTTCTAAAAAAAAAACCCACGGGAAAACTGTATCGTCATAAATGGTGTTGAATTATTTACCCTGAGGACACAAAAGGTAGACTTGTAAAGCGAAGTTAAGAGAGCTTGCAGTGATTCAGAGGAAAACCTCAGGAAACAGATGGACATGCAAATGTCCGAGGTCTCCGAGGTATATGCCGTCCAGATCACTTGGCCTGGCGCGCTGATAACAACGAAAATTGGTGTATGGATCCGAAGTACATCACATCAAAGGGTAAGAAAAATTTTTGAATCTCGTTGCCACCGTAAAAGAAACCTTGAATACCTTTGTAGAGGGTTTGCGTGGATTCTGCAATGTTTCGGTCGACTGTTGAAGTCTATAGTTCGTCGCGGTAACTACTTAGTGTAGGACCTCACGTAGTGGTCCGTCACGAAGTGGTCCGGGTGTAGAGGTCTGGTACCTCGCCTTAATTAGCAATCCATAGCCAATGGCATGCTTAGCTGCACTTAAGCATCCATGGCCATACTTAGCCGCACTTAACCATCCATAGCTATACTTAGCCATACTTAAGCATCCCAAGCCATCCTTAGCCGTACTTAAGTATCCCTAGCCATCCTAAGCTGTAGAGAGGCATCCCTAGCCATTTTGTCCCTATTAGGGACGAGGACGGCGTCTTCTTCTGGGACTTCACGGCATATAAAAGCCTGGGGCGAGAACGCCGTTCTTTGTGCGGGAATTAAGAAATGGTAAACAAGACTCGAACTTTTTCCAGCCCCTGGTCGAGAATAGCGTCGTTCAGGAAAGCGCCGGACGAACTTCTTTTAAGTTTTTGCGAGGAAATCATCAATGAGGATGAATTTCTGTTGTTGTATGATGTTAACAAGTCGAAAAATCCACAGTATCTTTATTGGAATTATGAAAGATTTACATTGCAAGATAAAAGTGAGACTGAGTGTAAGACAGATTTTCGCTTCGAAAATTACGACATCCCTCTCTTGGTTGATGTTCTTGGCTTACCTGACGAAATATAATTAAAATCCTGAGGTTAGCTGGTCTCTTATAAAGTATAAAAAATTAATGCAATGGAGGCTTTCGAAATGAGTATTCTTTGTAGTGGGATGAAACTGGCTTTAAAGGTAAGCCGAGAAAACAAGCATCTTCGATATATCTCTTCTCAAGTCGCGGAAACGGCATGAGAGTAACCATTAAATTACCAATTCATGAATAAATCGGTAAACATGGCAAACAGGAGGAAAATGTANAAGAGGAGGTTCGAAATGAGCTGAGCAAATCCGCGTACTCGTAGAGTCTAATTTCAGCGTCTCGTTCCTCATAAGAACCACGTACTTTCTACGTATATAAGGGTCTTTAGGAATTCTATAATACTGAAGGTTAGGTGCATTTCTGTAACTATTAGTGCAGCCTGGAATACAGCAGTTATAGTGCGCCATGTTAGTTTACCTTCACGTTGTCCCTCCAGACGATCCCAAGAGCCTTTATGGTGGCAAATCGTACCCAGACCGCCGCTCGTTTAGAAAATGGCTAATTGGGTACATCACGTCAGAGGACATATCTACAACAAGAGGATATAAGTGCAACGGTACAGAGGGCTACACCACGGTAGTTACCTTCGTCAGTAACTGCTGGGAGTCTGGAATCTATTCTATCATGGGGCACTTTCTCGTGGAGATCACGAGTGCTGGAGGAGTACAGTATTTACACGCTCTTGCAAGAGTTAAGCGTGTACGAAAATCTGAAATATTTAACCCATAGGGATTCGCACACTCATGTCAGAGCTAGCGGTGGATGTATGAATAGATATCTTACCGAAGCAAGTTGTTTGCGATGTGGAGCAGACTTTGTAGGAGTGAGGGTTTACGGGCGAAAGCGGAAGACTGAGGGATGTAGACATACTGCTATGAAAAATTTAGCTTTTTTAAAAGCTAAATTTTTCATAGCAGTATGTCTACATTAAAATGTCTCCAAGATGACGGGATTCTCTGAAAAAGCGCTTTAGAATTATCTAACAAACTTCCAGAAATGTTTCTACAAAAAAAGGATTCTTCATCTGTGTCGAACAAGTGCGCGTCAACCTTGTTTACAGTAAAATTGTTTCGTCGGGGGTGTTACGAAAACGAAGACCCTCGGAAACGAAAACCTAAGACCTAAGACCCGGTCTTCGTTTTCGTAGTACGAAAACAAAGACCCCCAATCTTAGTTTTCGTAGTACGAAAACGAAGACCCTGCATTAGCCAAAAGAGTTGCTTACTTTGTAGCGAGAATTTTCCACCAGAGAAGGCTTAACGACCGTCAGAATCTATTTTAGCTACGAAATACAGTAGATGTAAATTATTTATTGACAGAACCCAAGAGTCAATTCCTGTAGAGAACGCGTTCTTTGTTTTCCTGTCACGCAATGCTAACTATAATAAATCAAAGGCGGCTATCGTTGGAATTCTGCCTGCTGTTCCAGAATAATATGTGTGGTAAGTTTACCCGAGGAAACCCTCGAGAATATCAACACCAAATTAGCTCGAATAGCGAAACAGAACAGACAAGACGGGCCAGTAGTAATGGCAAAATAACTGCAGTATAATAATGGGAAGAAACGCGTGAAGTGTTATGCATGCATTATATTACTAAGCGTTGTTGCTGTTTAATGCGTGTTTAACTTGTAATTTCTACGGTTTTCTGCTTACAGGGTCTTAGGTCTTCGTTTTCGAGGGTCTTCGTTTCCGTAACACCCGTTTCGTCGGTAAATTGTAAATTTTTCTCTTTTAAAATTTTGCTCTTTTCTCAGCTCAACATGTGCGTACCGAATGGTGTGCGTACCTGTCTCAGTAAGAGCTCTAGATGAAAGTACTATTAGTATTAATGCTACAGTGTCTTTTCTCGTGTACATGTATTTCATCATCCATGGCATACAGCATCAGCGGTTACCAACACCTTTTGAAAGCTCTTGCAAAAACAATTCTCCCGAATTAGCCGTTTTCAGATTATTGTTGCATTACAGTCATTCAAATATGGACGAGAAGTCAATATTTGAAGTCAACCATGGGCTATCTGACTAAACCGTTGCTCCATCAAAATTTTAAATCTGGAGCGAAGTTAGCTTTAGCAAGATTGACCGGCAGAATTTTTCTTCAAATGTTCTAAAAGCCATTCGTGAGTAACAAACCAGAATGAGTTGGGTCTGAAGATTTGTCGAGCAAAAAATCCCATCTGTCCACCCGGGTATATTACATGGAGATGCAGATGCTGTATAGAATTAAATGGTGGCCAATGGTAGCCATACAAGACATCCTCCGAATCAGCACCACTGTTAGTAATAGCACTCTTTCCAACCTCAAACAAATGCTCAACTACTTGCAGGTCAACTGAAGTGAGCGACTTCGGATTGCCATAATGTTCTTTGGGAATCACCAAATAATGGTGCTTTGCGGCTGGGCGAATGTCTGGAAATACAACAGTCTTCTCGTCTTCAAAAATTATGCGAGATTCTTGTTCTTTAGCTGCAATTTTACAAAAAACACAATTCTTCTTACTCCCAAAGCTCTGCGACTCAGACGCCATGTTGATGAAACAAACTGCGAGGGAATAGGGCGAGCTACCCTGAGCACATGCGTCACTTCATTAATGTTCGAAGAAAGATCTGAAGAGTAAAAGACACTAGTAATTTTAGACGTTGTTCCCTTTGCCCGGCGCTGTGCCTGGGCCCTTTTCGTTCGGAGAGCTATGTCAGAACATGACAAACAGTTAGAAAGTTTCTTCGCGAAAAAGGAGAAGGGAAAGAAGTCCAAAGGAAAAAGCAAATTTACAACCAGTGAGGCTATTACGAAGCAAGTTGGAAGCACTCAGAAGGAAACAGACGGTCGATCTAAAGATCAGCCAAGTAAAAAGACTTCTGGAGTGACACCGACGCCTTCCAACACGGTACGAGTGCATGCAGGTTCAAGGCATTTTAAAACTTCATTGAATCGTCCGCTAATCATTCTCGGTCGGCTTACATAATCACGTGAGATTTTTTCAGTGAGCAAAATGGTATTTGCCATTTTTGTAAGAGCCATATCATACTAAACTTTTTTCTTATACTATGTTTACGAGAAGCAAGCTGATTTCGTCATGTTTATATCCTTGTCCAAGTCTTGTTAAGTAAAACATAATGATCATTGCATTACCGTAATTATGCCCTTTGGTAAACACAATGAGATGAAGACGGAGAGCTAGCAACAGCTGTGAAATGCAGACGTAGCCTTGGCCATAAAGGAATCTTTAATCCTTCCGTTAACCACTTTTTCTTAATTCCTCTTTTTCTTATTCTGTGGACAACGCAATTTAAATTGTTTGAAATTGCTAGTGAATATCCTCATTAAAAGACCCCTCCGTTTTCTATGCTTGTGACAGAGCTGATCATCTTCATTGACTAAATTTTTGTTAGACTATACATATAGACATGTATGGATACTACTTCTATGATTGTACTGTGCCCTCCATGCAAGTTGTTGTTATGATCAGTCAAGACATTTCAGACTTCCTTGTTTTCTATGTGAGCACATTTGGTAAAGTATCTTACATACCTCATCAGTAATATAAGGGGTGGCAAATGCTGTGGTTAAAAATCACAAATCTTGCAATTTCTTTTTTTTATCTCAAAATCTCATCAGTCTTTACAGTGAGCCTTGAATTCTTGCATTTCAGTGGAAGTTCTTTAGTATGACAGTTTTTTGTAGGACCGAGACTTGTGTATGCTGGTTCAGCTTCAATTCTGGCAATCATTGAATGAATCTGATCTGGTTTCTTCAGATTCGTTTTTAATTTTATTGGGTTTAGCTCAATGTTTGTTCAGGGTCCCACCTCTGCATTTTGACATTTTATCCATGTGAACTTTAATTCTACATCCTTTAACATTCTCACATGGGAAGAAGATTAACGATTGGAATGTGGTTTAGCATGATCTGTACTCTTATCAACAATGATATTCATCATCACAGAGGCCAAAATGTTGTGGACTCATAAGGCACAGCTGAGTGAGTCTGCAACAAATATCATTTTCCAATAAAATGATTCTTTCAGTTGGTAACCATTGCATGACACATTTACTTGAGCAGCATTGTCTTTACTCTTATCAAGAATGGGAAATAAGTCAATCAAATTGCAGTGAAGGTAGTTGTCATTTGTCAGCTTGGAAGTATTGTTTATAATCCAATGGAAGAAGCATCTTTGATGGGGTTAATGGCAGCTACGCTCACGGATTGTTGTTTGGAGGATATAGAGTGTGACAAATATCAACTCATATTTACCTCAGTGGAAGAGGTTTTGGTGAAGCCATATCTTTTCTTGATGAAAAAAAACAGCCACACCATTTCACCAAAATATGCTGGTTTGAACAAGTTACGGTGGGTGAACCTTCGAGTGCAGTTGTTTGTTTGCTTCAAAGTATCATTTGCAATGAAATGGATGAAACATCATCAATTGAATTAAAAGGAAGCTACACTCAAGGATTGTTGTTTGGAAAATATAGAGTGCAGTAAATACCAACTCATATTTGTCACCACGGAGGAGGTTTTGTATAAGCCACTTCTTTCCTATTGGAAAAAAAACTGCTCGTAGTTTCACTCATCGGCTCTATGTGTGTTTGTTTCTGTTCGAAGACAGTGCTTCTGGTTTTTAAATGATTTACTTTTGATTGGGTACCTGCTCATTTCTGGAAATGCAGTGAGGCGCAACTAATCAGGGGTTTTTTCCCATTTTAACAGCCTTCTCAGTCAGGCGTCTTCTTGCCTTTCCCCTGCCCCTCACCCCAACTGTCCACTCTGACTCCAAATCAAACATGGCAGATAAACGATCACAAGCTAATAACATTAACTTGCCCTAATAAGATGCTTGCACTACAGGCTAAGGTATATCTATTGCACTAGGTACGCAGAGCGTACAAAGTGGCAAAATTTGGTATAAAAATACATTTGATGCACATTTAATAGACAGTCTGTTAATTGACCAGTGTCCAAACTTTGTTTTAACCAAGTCCTCCTTTTGTCACAATTTGGCATCAACAAGAGCTGTTCATTAACTCCTCTGCATTTTACACCACAATGCTTTGTTACTGCCATACTCTATAACTGTACAGCAGTAGGCACATGTAGTATACAACATACGTGGCCTTCCATAATGGCTGCTGCCTCCTTTGGAGATGAAGCCATGATTTTGTTCTGTGGAGTGAATAAGGGAGTTTAACAGTGGAATACAAAAGACCTTATAGCACACAAGGAAGTCTGTGGAGTTTTGCATTATAATTCTTTGCTCTGGGCTTTTGTTTGTTTTGGAACATCTTAGGTTGTTCAACATTTGGTGACAATTTCTTCAGATGGCTGTGAATGTTACTATTGGCACATGATTACACTGTTTGCTAGTGCTGCTGGCTGTATGTTTTGGAGTACTACGGATAAATATCTAATTAGGTTTGATCTCCATATCTTGGAAACTTTTGAATGAAGAAAAATTGTTAATGATTTATCTGAAAAGAGAGCATTCCACCATTTCAAACAACAACAATTACATAAAAGTACTGATAAATTTGTAAAGCGACCAGGGTTCGAAAAACAATACCTTGAGTTTAAGATAAAATATTTGATAAAATGAAGCAATGGTGGAAAGGCAGAATGGTAGAATGGCAGAATAGCAGAATAAATGAGAAAAAAAACTTATTTCAACATCTCATCCTACCATGGGTGGTTTAGAAAACAATAAAAATCTGTCAAAATATATGGTGGATAATTTATGAGTACTGTTTTTTTTTTTTTTTTTTTTTACAGAAAGAGGAGGAGTGGATTGACTTTCAGGAACCAGAAGAGAAAGATTACTCAGGACTAAGGATACAGTCATTACAGATTGGGTGAGTTGTTATATATTGAGAGTCGGGGCTGTGATAAAGTGTACCTGAACTTCACTTATAATAAGGTTCAAGTTAAGTTTCAAATTAAAACATCTTTCAATCTTTTTGGGGGATTCCAAGTATTGTTGTTATTACCATTTGAGAATTTTGCCCTACTAAATTCAATGGAGCTTTTCTTACCTTTAAATTATTTTGTCTTTCTGAGTGAACTTGTCACTTTTCTTTTAATAAGCTGAAGGTACTGTTGAAATAACAATAACAATCTTGGCAATGATAATGATGGTAATAATCATATTAATAATGGTCTGTATAAAAAATGATGACTGTAAGCTTCCTGTAAACCTTTTTTGCTCTGAAGAGAGAATACAGAAGGTGAAGGATCTGAGGGTAATGAACAAGAAGATGAAGAGGATGAAGGTATGGTATGACACTGTCCCAATATATAATTTTCTGTGGACAGTTAAGGAGATCAATGTTATTTTTCATTATCAGCCTACATTGGAGTAGCAACACTCCAGCAACTGAGATGAGCATTAGCTGCTATTTGAGAAAGTACTTCAAGCTCAACTCTTTTCCAAGTCATGATTTGATGACCTAAATCACAAAATGATGGCCAGAAATAAAATTTCAGTCACCAGAGAGAAAAATGTTTTTTGGCTGTTCGTGCAACATCTCAAGGCCTAAAGTGCAGATGACCAGAGGCACTGTCTTCAACAAGGAAACGTTGGAGCTTTATTTAGGTGTCAAATAGAAATGTTTGTCTTACTTTAACTGAAAGACAAAGACACATTATAACATAACCAAAGTAAAGCACATGCACTGATTTGTCAATTTAGCATCCACCATTTGCCCATGGGTGTACGCTGCTGATGTGAGCAAATGCAAAGACTATTTTTCTGCGTGCGCTTGTCTTTTTTGTGGTCACGTAAGATTTGTTAAATAAAAGGGAACTCTTTAGCTACAATGTATCAACGTTATGTTATAAAACAAATGATAAACTCCACAGCGTACACTATTGAGTTATGGATGCACTTGGGAGGTTTGCTAAGCACTCAAGAAGCTAGAGTCGCTCTTGGCTATCGCCTATAGCGACTCTTACTCTTCTTTTGTGCTTAGCAACCTCCAGCGTGCACCCATAACTCAATAGTGTATGCTGTGGTGTTTACCATTTGTTAATTATTCTACCATAATACTTTTCCCTCTTTGGAAATGAAGATATAGAGTCTGCATACAAGAATGACTAACTGCTCCCAGCATTGACTGTTTTGTTAAGCATGGCAATTCTACTAAAGAAGAAATTCCAATTTGGTAAATTGTGTTTTGCAGTCTAGAAGAAAACTGTTAGTACATTTGTTTCAAATTTGACCTGGAAGCTTCTTTAATTATGAAGTAGAAATTTTTTTGTGAAATTGATCAGGTTGGTTGTGAGATATATGTAGGTTATTGTTGTGTAATTGATATTTCACATGCTAATTTTCAGGAGACCCATCCGTAAGGAAAGACAAAACTGTAGGACCATGGCAGCAACTTTCCACAGCATCCCAAGGCACTGCTGGTAATTCCTTCTCTTCATAAGCCGGGGGGGGGGGGGAGAGGATCATGGTCTGCTTGAGAGAGGTTTGAGTTTGATTCAATCCACTCTCTGTACTTGATGTATTTATTCTTTGATTGTTTCTTGGTTTATCCACAGCTTCCCAGGACTCAGAGGAGTCTAAACCAGTGGGGGTCTACAGACCACCAGCCTACAGAGCCCCTGGTAGAAGGGCACCAGTTTCTTCTGGCCGTAAGATGCCTGAAATTGACAGCGAAATTGCTTTCCCCTCATTATCAGCAGCCATGGCATCAAATGATAAAAGGTTTGTTGATGTCATTAATGACTGAAATTTAAAAATTGCTTTTAAAAGTGGTAGATATCATGTGATAAAATAATGACTTCTCTGAAGTACCGGTCACGTGAGATCTGCTCTACTGATCTCTATCCGTTGCAAGCTGCATTGACTTTTAATTACTTTTTTTATCTTGTTTTGCAGTAGCAAGGAGACTAATGGTGGGAAAAGTTTTGAGACTGTGAAGCACGGATCACGAACAGTTGAGAATTTAGCTGACAGAGGACCACAACTTGACCTGGGAAATAAGTTTGAGGCACTGAGAAGAAGCTAGGGCTGATTGCTACTACATTACACAATTATTACAAAGCAAATACAAACTGAATCTTGCTGAACGCTTGAAAAAGAGAATAGAATCCAGTAATTTTCATTACCTTAATTTTGTTTTAAAAATTTTTGAAAGTCAATTCAAGGTTAACTGTTGTTTGATTGCTTTTTCAAGGGAACATATTTCCTAACTACCCAGGAATGGGCTTAATTTACCCTAGGCTTTCACTGACAAGATCTAAGTGTGAATTATTTTTACTCCCTGATATGCATTGCTGAACATTAAAGCGCAAATTTGCAGTAAAATTAAACAACATCCCCTGGCAAGTATCTTTCCCTTGAACCGTTCTGCTCTAAAGTGTATTGTTGTTAAAATGAAAAAATCTTCTGGTTGTGACAGTCTTCATTAGCTTTTCATGGATATGTGGCAATTCAGACTGTTGATTGCGGAAGTATCAGTATCTGTTCCCTTTACTGTTTACGTCCCAAATTAAAGATGAGAAAAGATACCTCGCCTTAATAACTTAACTGAAATCATCTACTAAAATCTGATTTTGTCGGGTGTGACTTACACAAACTCTTAAAACTAATTTACTGTTTTAAAGCGAGCAAAACACTCAAATCTTGGAAGGTTGCTTTTTCGAAATATTTAATGTTATTTTTGTGCAGAAAAAGATTTGCGAAATGTGTTATTTTGTAATGTAGACCGTTATCTCCAGGTAATACTGACTGTGCTCAACCTACATTAGTGCAGCTTAGTTTATTATATGATCGAAGCAAATCGCCTGTTAAACAAGTCAGCACCGATTAAGTGCATACGACTGTGTAAGGTAACTATATTTTAGGTAACTAAACGGAAGAACTTCCCAACACTAAATTAAATTCATCTAAGACTACTTGACGCAATTTGACGATGTACCTGAAATGTGATCGATATGATTTCAATTACACAATTATATTGAGGTTGTTGGTGTATGGAATGTCCTGTCCTCTTACTCTGATCTTTGTTGAGGAAGGGTCATTAACACACCTGGCCTCCGTCCTCTTCAACTGAAGCTAATTGTCAAGCCGACCTGGTTGCTGAACATGCTGAGCCGGTCTGTCTTCTCTTGAATGTGCTGTCGAGTGTGGGACAATAGGGCTAAGTCGTCTGCGAAGTCGAGGTCTTCGAGCGTAGTAAAAGGGGTCCATCTTGTGCCTCTTCGCTGATCTTCCATTGTTGGACAAAGGACCCACTCGATAGCAATATTGAATAGCATGGACGACATGACACATCCCTACCGTACGCCGGTTTTAACTTCAAAACTTAGACCCCCCTGACCGATGCAACATGTGAAATTTGAGTAGAAGCATTTGATGATATTAACAATGCGTTGTGGAATGTGATATGTAGACTTCATTTCAAGAGGGTAGCACGTGACAGTAGTTCAACTGATGATCCTGTGGCCCTCTATATGTGTACCCACCCATCCCACCCCAGGGGAGGACATCCATCACACAGTAATCTCGTGCGTGGGAAATTAACGTCTCCTATCCCTAACCCTGCAGGAGACGGGACCTCCATTTATTCGTCCCTATCCGAGAAGACTAGAATATCTAACCACTTCTTGATGTTATAGGGAGGACTAGGTAGCATATTCTTCTCAATTATTTTAAGACCTTGAGTGTTGCTCGAACCCTCGACCTCCCGCACAACAGTCCAGAGCTCTATCCATTAAGCTAACTGAGAGGCCACAAGCTAACTGGCAGGTCACATGCTCTGAGGATCCGCCAAAGACTGTCCATATGAATGCTGTCAAACATTTTCTCATAGTCGATGAAATTTACATACAACTCCNCATCCCACCCCAGGGGAGGACATCCATCACACAGTAATCTCGTGCGTGGGAAATTAACGTCTCCTATCCCTAACCCTGCAGGAGACGGGACCTCCATTTATTCGTCCCTATCCGAGAAGACTAGAATATCTAACCACTTCTTGATGTTATAGGGAGGACTAGGTAGCATATTCTTCTCAATTATTTTAAGACCTTGAGTGTTGCTCGAACCCTCGACCTCCCGCACAACAGTCCAAAGCTCTATCCATTAAGCTAACTGAGAGGCCACAAGCTAACTGGCAGGTCACATGCTCTGAGGATCCGCCAAAGACTGTCCATATGAATGCTGTCAAACATTTTCTCATAGTCGATGAAATTTACATACAACTCCGTGTTCCACTCAGTACATTGCTAAAGTATGTTCTGTAGTGTGAAAATAAGATCCGTACATCCACGCCCTTTGCGAAATCCAGATTGCTCGTTCCGTAGGATGTCATCAACAGCTTGGGTGATGCGCTGTATAATGACCTTGCAAAAGATTTTACTCGGCACAGACTCACCAGTTGTTACAATCACTTTTATAGAGACCCTTTTTTTGGTGTCTTGATTATCACTCCTCTACTCCAATCTGTCGGAATTTCTTCCTGTTCCCAGATCTTTGTAAACAAAAGGGGTCAGAATGGTTGCCGCAAGCTCAGGAGCTGCTTTAAACAGCTCGGCATTTAGATTATCATGGCCAGGAGCTTTTCCATTATTCAGGGAATTAATGACTTGGATGATTTCCCTCCTCGTGGGAACGTCTTTGTTGATGTCAAGGTCAGTTCCGGCTTCCTAGATGTTGGGCAATACTGTTGGTGGTGGTCTGTTTAAAAGCTCTCTAAAGTGCTCCGACCGTCGCCGTTGTTGCTCTTCCCCTAATGTTAATAGGATACCGTTCTTGTCCCTTACAAGCACGGTTGTGTGGCATTTACCTGTTATGATCTTGGTGATCTGTTCCTTGTTCATTGCGCGTAGCTGCCTCTTCCGCCTGGGATGCAAGGTTCTCCATGTACTTCCGTTTGATCCACTCTTGCTCGGCGTTTCACCTCCTTGTCCGCTGCCCGATACATCTCTTGATGCCTTTCTTTAAGCCGTTGGAATTTCGAATCCATAACTTTCTTCTTTAATCTCTGTCTATTTTCAATTGCTTTCCAGGTATCAGATGACATCCATTCCTGTGGTATCCGCTGCATGCAGCCTAGACATGCCTTGCTGCTATCATTGTAAGCAGCAACAATTTTCTCCCAGTTCTTATTCACCCTTTCATCGTTAGTTCCACAAGAACCTCGAATCTGTTGCGCACCTCCAGGATAAAAGATTTTCGCATATTTGGGTGTTTCAGTTGGCTCACATCGAAACGGCTGCGCCCCTTGATTAGACGCCCTGCACTCTTTAATTTCAGTTTAAGGTAGGCTGTTACAAGATGATGGTCACTTCCAATGTCAGCTCCTCTCCTCACCTTGACATCCCGAAGAGATCTCCGCCATTTTCCATTGATCAGCAGATGGTCAATTTGATTTCTATCCCTACCATTCGGGGAGTACCATGTGATTTTATGGATCTCTCGGTGTGATATTGAGGTTTTCTTTGTTATTTTTTTTTTTTAGTTTTTTCGTTTTCATTTAAAATATGTTATTTCGACGATGTTCAAGTCTTTGAAACAATCTGACGATGTTCAAGTCTTTGAAACAATCTGCGGTCTTTCCTTACACTGAGGTAACACGGAAAGCCGTAAAAATCTTGAACAAAAGCTCATCTTTCAAACCGGCAGTCTAAATCCCACAAGGATCAACGAACGCTTTTCATTCCACTAATTCATTCTTGTTTTTCTCGTTGCCATGTTCCCACCAATAACGTAGCTCCATTTTCTGCCTTTAAAAGCATACACAACCCACAACTCCTCTATTCGCTCCGACGAAGGGCTAATGCTCGAAACGTCAGCTTTTGTAATCGTTACGGTGGCCAATTTACCATTTCAGCTTTGTTGATATATCCAAATTATTTCTTTGAAACATTGCCAGATTAAAAATCTTTTCCAGCCAAAGCCAGAAAGTCTTACGAACTCAATTGTGCATATATTGAGGCAAATTTCAAGCGGACCTAAATTTATGTGGTGTCGTGAAACAACTGAACAATAACAGTTTGCTAAGTAGTAGACTTATTGATACTTTAAAAACCGTGAAACTTAAATCGAAGCTGTAGTTCGTGTTGATTTTACGTATTAGCTTATTGTTCCCTTGTACAAACTCATTCACGTGTCGTTTCGGTGACCATGTGAGGCAAGGAGTCGCGGATTCTACGATAAACAACGTCGCAAAGTCCAGCCTTCTTGATTAACAACGCTCAAATCTATTGATGTTGGTTATTTTTCTTTCAAGCATGACGACTGCCTGCTTGGCTGGCACTTCGTGGTGCCGACCGGCAGGAAACTCGGCACTCCACCACTTTAAGTTGACATAGAAGTACAGTGTCCGCTGTGCAAGTGAAGTCCAAACGTGTAAACTGAAAAAAGAAAAAAAAAAAAAAAAACTAATCCACGTAGGTCTAATTTAACCAGCATATGGTTACGATTCAAATTTCCTCGATAACATAATTTTTCGGCTGTTAGGCTCGCTAGTAAACCTAGCGTGCCTCGCATTCAAGGTCACCTGCCCCATCCAAAGAAGTATCGAAAATGAAATATATCGCATGCTCTCAATAGCAATCTTGCACCCGCTGGTTCTAAAAGCTCCCTTATCGCAGGAACAAGAACTCGCTACGTGAGCGTTGATCTTTTCTGACTGTGTAACTCCTTCCTCCTGCTCAAGTCAGGAGAAATGGAAAGGGAATACCTCTGAAATAAGACTGACAACATGACTTGTCTGATCATTTCCTTGTTCTGAAAGCCGGGGGCTTGATCCCGTTTCTTGCGAACCAAAGGCTTTTCTTAGAAATACTGTCATGAAAGCTTGATAAAAAGCTCTGGGACTCTTCTCGCAAACACACTGCTAGTAGAGAACGATCTTCTCTCACAGTATGCACAAACTATTTTGTTCTGTAGAAGCCTCGACTGTAACTTCTCGGTTACCAGCCGGTTTGAAAGCGAGATCTCTCTTCAATACAAAATACTAAGCAAAAGGAGTATTCGTCTGCTTTGTAGCCAGCTTACTTGCAAAACGTCTTTGTTCAAAAAATAGTTGCTAATAATTTGGGGCGCGCAGGTCGTTAACACCAACTGCGTCGGTTTGCCATTTCAAGGCTGCTAGATTCATAGCAGGTAAAGAAAATCGCAGAAAGAGCGTTAACGGTTAATGTACATACGTTTCAAGTGTTCTGCTTCAATAAACAAGAGATTCAACAATGCTCTTCATAATGAGAGCGAGCCACTTAGCACCTAACAACTATATTCACCCCTCTGACTGATAACTTTGACCCTTGCAGTCTGTAAACCTTGTAACAGGAGAGAAGAGAAGCACTCCTTCAAGTCATGCATTATTTTCTCTAAACTTTGATAATATCGCACCTCACTTAAAAGAGGCAGTTTGGGAAACCGAATCAATGCACCATTTAAAGTAAAATCATTTGAATGCTGTTAACATGTGGTGTAACAGGTATTGCGCGAATACTCACAGGTGGATCAACTAGAACCTGTCGGTTCACGTGACCTAGTCAAAGAACTAGCATTGTTTGTTTCAAGTACTTTATAGTTCGTCGATATTCGTCAATTCTAACTCTCCGGAAATCTAGGTCTATGCATGAACCTGTTTAAATGACATGATCCGGCGATGAACCAGTTCTGGCATGGTAGAGATGTGTGTCATTAAACTGGTGAATGGTGACCGATCATGGCCCGGTTGATTTCAAGGAGAAAACTGGTTTACTACACCATTGTGGTGACTTCCTTCTGCTGGGTCCTTGGAACTGTGTCATTTTTTCTCTTTCAGTCGTTGGAAGTTAACATCGACATGAAGAGACGTATGTCCGATAGTCACCCTTCCTCGCAAAGGCCGAAATGGAATGTTCAACATGACCAACTTGTCAAGGAAGCAGACCAGAGAGAGGGTAAACAGTACATTCCGAACGAGAAAAAGAAAGCCCGCATTAACCTTACGTATCAAAAAATCTCCAACAAAGGTATTAGTGCTTCAAAAAGATCGCAAAAGAAACTTGAACAAATGACGGCCAATTACGAGAGGTATCCGTCGGGGGTTAGACTAAAAGGACCGGGCGCTAGGGGAGAGGGGGTTTCCGTACCGGAGTCCCGCAAGGACGACGAAGAGGAAGGATTTGAACAACATTCATTTAACCGTGTGGCCAGTGATATGATTTCTGTGCATCGAACACTTCAGGACCACAGAAATAGCAGGTAAGTCAAATGATTGACCACTACACCATAAGAGGGTCGCCATTTAGAACAGGTTGATTAAAGCGCTCGCATTTCATCAATTATCATAGTTTTTAATTGAATTGCTTTTGGAAGATGAGAAATCAATTTTTCCCAATGGACTGTGTTATAGATTGATTTTATTTCATAGTATCACAGTAATGGCGTTATCGGTCGACACTAAGTTTCAGAGATATAACACATTTTTTCACCTGCATTTATAGATCGTTTGCCGAGTTTCTACGGCTTACTACCTCTTAGTCCATTCAGACAAGACATGACTGCGTTGATTTTTCCTGATTTGCACTCGTTTTCTTTTTTATCACAACTCTTGTTCGAAGCATAGCTTATGTTTCTTGCAAGCTCACTTCATTAGTGACCACTTTTCGTTAAGACTCCAGAGAGTCCTTCGGAAAAGTCGTTCCAGTTCCTGATTTGCTTTCCACTGGTCGAATGGAACGAAGGCTCAGCATCATATCACCAAACGTTTTCGAATCAAGAAGAGAAGTAAGACTTAAACACCGGTATTGTAAGGATGTTTCAAAATCACCGTGATCTTTCCTTTAAGGGCTACACTTATTTAATGAGGGAAGACCATGAATAATTTGTGCAACATATGTTCGAGATCTGATAAAAGTTGAATGCTTTCATTGATCACGTGGAAACTGAGCAAAATATGTTTGAGGAATGATCATTCCTAGGAGACGCATTGTGTTTTACTTCGTGGTTATATCATCCTCTGTATGGATTTATTTGGCTACATACTTTATCCTCACAAACAAATTCGAGCCAGAGGAAAACAGGGTTGCAGATGAAGCCAATTATAATCTTCTTATGTACGATAAAACTCCAGATAGAAATCCAAACAAGCCTGGAGAATGGGGTGCAGGAGTCTCGCTTAATTTTTTGGAAAAGAAAAGAGAAGACCAAGGCTTTCATGAACATGCATTTAACCGAGTTGTAAGCGACAAAATTTCCCTGGAAAGAAATCTTCTAGACGTACGAAATTCAAAGTAAGCGATCTGTGCTTCATGTCAGAAACTCTGATGGAGATTATAAACGCTGATACTCAGTTCTAATTAACACGTACAATGTTGAGAATATTGGAAATTGTCATGTTTCCTACATATGTTTTTTCGTTGGTGATAAGTGTTAACTGCATTGTAAACTTCAGATTACGTTGTTGCGTCAGAGAAAACTTAGCGCACTCACAAATGTATGCGAGTCTATCGATTTTCGTTATAATCGGCAACACTAAAAGGAGTATTTTGCTTACCATATAAATCTGGTTATTGACATCAATTGATTCGGGAAATTTAGAAAATTAGAGCCATCTAGCTCTAATATGCCTAAAATTACAGAGACAAGATTTGACCCATGCAGCAAATAGAAGGTAAAGGTTTTTTGATGAAGTAGAGCTACTTCTAGAACTGGGATACCCTCCTCTCTGCAGCAAAAAAATTTCCATACTGTACATCCCCTCCCCAAAGACAGTGTAGCATTTTTTGGTACAGAGCATTTTGATGGGTTTCTATCATGGGAGGGCAGAAATGAAGGAGAGACAAAGATCTGTTATTTGTTAATTTTAATCATGACTTTATTTCAGGTGTAAAATAAAGAAATATCCTCAGGATCTGCCCACAAGCTCTGTAATTATATGCTTTCACAATGAAGCTTGGTCCACTCTTCTAAGGACAGTACACAGTGTCATCAATAGGACTCCTCCTCAGCTACTAAAGGAAATCATTCTTGTAGATGATGCCAGTGACAGAGGTACATGTAGTGATTGGTGAAACAGTAAATAGTTTTTTTATCTTGTAATCTGATCATTGGGGTGAAGTTAGTCCTGAAAAGGGCTGTTATTGGTAGTAGTGATGGACATTTCAGCAATAATACATTTGACTGACAACAACACTTCACTTGACTCTTAAATCATGACTTGTTTAGCATTTCTAGAAAGGGTGTCTGACCATGACACTTATTTTTATGGCAAATTGTATTACTGCCTTCATTGAGTTTTGTATTTTCAGATGGGTTTGTCATAGTTTTATTAGGATTGTTAATGATTATGATTAAATAAAATTCTATGAGAGGTTGAGATCGAGTTATTATAGATGTTTACTGACCAATGTTTTATTCATTTTATTTGCATTAAAGTATCTTTTTTTCCATGATTTTTTTCCACAGATGAGCTAAGGACAAAGCTTGAAGACTATGTTACCAAGTTAAAAGTTGTTAGAATTATCCGTCTTTCCAAAAGAGAGGGTTTAATTCGGGCAAGGCTTACTGGAGCAGAACATGCCAAGGGACAAGTTCTGACATTTTTGGATGCCCATTGTGAATGTTCTAAGGGTTGGCTGGTGCCTCTTCTTGCAAAAATTGCTGAAAATCGTTCAAATGTAGTAATGCCAGTTATAGATGAAATAAGTGACCAGAACTTTTATTACCATGCTGTGCCAGAGCCATTTCATAGGGGAATTTTTCGTTGGCGATTAGAGTTTGGCTGGAAGCCTGTTCCTCAGTATGAGATGGAAAGACGTAAAGATGAAACTGAGGGTATAAGGTAGGCACTTCAACATATTTAAATAAATACTTAGTTGATGTATAGTGATCTCTTCATCGGTGTTTAAGACTGGCATTTTGATTATTGTAAGTAATCTGATTCAGGCCCACAGGCAATTCGTTTTATATAGTAAGCACTTTTCCTGGGCTGTTTGTGATCTTTATCCAGTTTGTGGCAATCTAAATCAAGCCATGAGCAACCTTAATTGCATTCCAGGCAATTTTTATGAGGCTTTAGGCAATCTCATCTATGTCAAGCGATATAGACAATCTGATTGAGTTGTAGGTAATCTGTATCATGCTGTGGGTAATCTTTATTAAACTCAGGCAATCCTCATTGGATTGTGGGTATCATGACAAGACAAAAGACAATTTGTATTGGATTGGTGGCAAGTTTATCATGTTGAAGGGATTTCTTGCACAGTTGTAGGCAGTGTGAACTAAGCTGTATGCAATCCTGTGGGTAGTCTTGGTGGGCAGGTGATCTGGAAGAGGCTGTTGGCAATTTTGGTCACACTTGTACACTATTCCTGTGTCAATCTCAGTCACTGTGTATAATGAGTTAAAGACAGCTGGGATTCGATTGGAGGCATCCTATGTCGGGGCAAAGTAAATTATTCAATATTAATCTGGGTCAAACTGTTAGCAGCTTGGTCATTGTGTAGATCATTACCTGTTAACCAAGGTATAGGACGGCACTATTTGCATGAACTAAAATGTTGTGTGGATAATATTATTGTAACACTTTAAACATACTAGTGAAAATGAAATTCAATTGTGCCAATATGATAATGAAACAATAAACACTCACCTTTTTTTTTCAGGACCCCAGTGATGGCAGGAGGCTTGTTCTCCATTGACAAAAGTTATTTTAATGAGATAGGAACTTATGACACAGGAATGGACATTTGGGGTGGAGAAAACCTGGAAATTTCATTTAGGGTAAGTCTGTTTTTATAAGTTCTGTTTATGTACACAAAAAGGAGATTTTGTACTGTCAACCTGTTTTTAACATATGCTAGCTTCTTACATTAGCTTCACAGAGCTTTTCACTGTTTCCCCAGCAAATTATATTTATTAGTATATACCACACAGGGGAACAGTGCTTTTTGCATGTGCTGATCAGGCAGTTGAAAGGTAAATAGCAAGTACTATTCACCTCTGGAGCAGCCAATGAAACAAAATTGTGCATCAAAGAGTTTAACTGCTGACCACTTTTCTGTATATTAACTAATTTTTGAGTATCTGTGTGGCATATACTAAAACAATTATCCCACCTCATGCACAGTTGGTCTAAATGCATCTCATGATCAAATTTGCCACAGCTGAATCTGAGAAATATAAGCAGAATATTGGCAAATATGCTCAAACATTTGGTCTTTGGACCTTATCTGTTCCTCTATGCGATTATTTTTGCAAGAGTGAAGCTCACGGAAAACTGTTCTCAATGGACATTGTCTATTCCGCTTCTTGGAATAGACAACGTCTGTGGACAAATATTGGTGCATATTTTTGTGCCAAATGAAGGCTATTGTTTATGTAGACAGTTTGTGAAAATATGTTAGTTAAGGTTCACTTCAGATTCAGATAATCAAATGACCATTCACATTTTCAATCAGATGAATTCCTGTGCTGCTCTTTCTAACCAAAATTTCCCGTGTCTCATTTGATGCAGGTGTGGATGTGTGGAGGTGCCATTGAAATGCTCCCCTGTTCACGTGTTGGTCACGTGTTCAGACCACGTTTTCCATATTCATTTCCTGCCCGTCCAGGTGGTGACCTCGATGTTGTAAGTCGTAATCTTATGAGAGTGGCAGATGTGTGGATGGATGAATACAGCAAACATTTCTACAACATTCGGTTTGATTTAAAGAGGAAAAAGCATGATGATGTCAGTGAAAGACTTGCTCTGAGAAAGAAGTTACAGTGCAAAAGTTTTAAGTGGTATTTGGAGAATATTATTCCTGAGTTAGAGGTGCCAGATACAAACTTCGTGGCAGCTGGACAGGTTGGTTGAAAAGACTATAACTGTGTCAATGTATCTGTGAAAGTTGTGAAACACAAACAAGAGCGCAATTTGAAATAGAGTTCTCTTCTTCAGATTCTTCTGTCAGTGTATCTTATTCACGTATTATTTCACTAATCCTCCAACCATTCCGATCTCATATTTGGTATGACTGATGAAAGCAAGTAATCTTACATGGGCACATGAACTTGGTTCTTTGAAGCATTCGTTGTGAAATAGTACGGAATGTCAAAATGATAATAGAATCGACTCCGAGCAGGTGCAGGTGGTTGTCATGGATACTTTATCCGGGACTGTTTTATGTAAAGTCGTTATCTGTTTGCAGGTTCGGAATCCTTCGAGTGACAAGTGTCTAGACACGTTGGGGAAGAAAGACGATGCACCTCTGGGGCTCTATGAGTGTCATGGTCAGGGTGGAAACCAAGTGAGAATGCACAATAAATCTTAACAGATTCTGTGGATAATTTGTCCCTATTCCTCCAACACTAGGCATTCAGTATGACGGACTGTTTCCATTGAGGTGTCAAATATTATTTATCAGGGGAATGTTCAGGGCTAACTATGACATTTCCTTTCTTTTTTGTTTCCAGTACTTTGTGTTAACAAGCAAGGGAGAGCTAAAATCAGAAGATAATTGTTTGGACTACAATGGATATGATCTGTACTTGAGGGAATGTGACGGACTGCAGCAGAACCAGAAGTGGGAATATAAGGTACGAGTGCGTATACCCTGAGTCAGCTAATAGGACATTGTGTGCATCATGCCTGTGTTGGCAGCATTTAGGTCCATTTTTTCCGTAACCCTTTTTTTTTTTTTTTTTTTTTTACTATTTTTCGAAATTGATGCGTTCTCCGGTTATTTGAAGAATCACAACAGAACAATTTGCTAGATTGCCCTAAGTTAAAATGTTGGTTACTGTGCGGCAAACAGTTAATGTCTTTCTGTTGCAAAAAAAAAAAAATGTAACCGATTACCATTCTTTTACGAATAACGGTTTCAATTTGTCCATTTTTTTTTACACCTAACAGCTAATTGCTTTTACCGTTTTACGGCTAACGGTTAACCTCATTGAGACCCTCTGAGCACTATGCTGTCCGACTCCCCGCTGACCAGTTAGTATTGTCAAATGCTAGATTTGATCATTTTTCCTTATCCCTGTTGCTTTTTTTGTGCGTTCATAGAAAACAGCGCTCTACCAACCACGCCATGATGTATGTATTGACCGAGGTTCCTCGAATGCGGAGTATGCCAAAGTTCGCGCGTGTGACGGGAGACTGGCCCAAGTATGGGAATTCTCGAGGACAGAAGACATGGACTGATGCTCAGCCGGTCTGTGCAGATTCCCAGCACTGTGACGAGACAAGAAAGTAGTCCGGTATGGAATTATACTCTGGTAGGGATGAGGTTGCTTGGCGATCTTCCACTTTCAGCGGATGGATTTTGGCTGAAGCCGTACCGCCGGGAATCATCTCCGTAGGAGGGAGATAAGAAATATCTTCCTCCCATAAGAAGCGAGTAGTTCCTGGATCACTTCAGTGGATCACTATCACCATAGGACTATCCATCAGGACTCACAGACACTCGCTTTGTTTGGCTAAAGTTGAACGAACTCCCCTTAGAGCAAGTTTGCTCCATTCAGTAAATAACGCAATTTTGTTCGTAACTGCAATGTTTCTCCCTTCGTCTGCCCGTCACACTGTCAAAGTGTCATCGCTGTCCAGCTGTCTGTAATCAGTGAACTCAGTGGAACTTGCACATTTTACGAAACTGAAATTATAGGATTTTCTAATTTATTGTTTCGAAATTAGGTGATACACAATTAAAGATATCGTCAGAGATTTCCGAGTTTGGGTTTTGGTCGAGGGTCGAGGGTAAAATGTCGAGTGTCGAGGGTAAAATGTCCAGGGTCCGAGAAAATGTCGAGGGTCCATAAAAAACTAAAAATTTTAAATTTAAAAAAAATTAAATGTGAAATGTCAGAGGAAACTCAGAAATTACATATGGATATGTTGTGACTTATTGTTTTTGTATACTTTCACGCTTCATTTACACAGCTTCCACAAATGCACCCGCAACCGCAAATAAATAGATGCCGGCTGATCGAGGTCAAGGTTAACGTTGTAGAAAGCGTGACTAAGCAATTTGTCGATCGAAATATGGTTTTCTCTTAAGCGCCTAAATCTCGCAGTTTCTGGGTTTCCATCCGCCGTGAAGTCATAAGCAAAAAAACTCGAACTGAGGAACAGCAAATAAAAAATCAGTCTTCATCGCGGTCGTCTCCTCGCGCCTGCATATAAATAGATGGAGGAATACACTCTGTAAACGGAAATATCCTTGACAAGGCGTGTGAAGACTTAAGGAAAACAAGCTCTTGTCAATCAAAGTGGTGCAAGAACAAGAAGCTACGGAGTTCCAAGGTCAATATGCTAAATATCCTTACTCACTAGCATTCATTTCGTGGAAGGTTCTGAGAGTTTTATATCAGATTGAAATCCCCGAGTTCATTATGATGTCAGGAGAAAGAAGATTCTTAACACTCCGAGTATGACGTGAAATCATGACAAATTTGACTAAAACTACAGTAACAGCAGCAGTAAAAACTTCAGTTTCGGTTATGTGCAAAACGTTTTGCAGGATCAGAGGGAACAAATGTTAAAACACACCATCGATAAAAATGACAAAAAAGTGTACTCAAACAAAAATTTGTACGTTTTCTTGTCAATCTTTGGTCAGACGATGCTAAAAGCCCCTCTATTAGCGTATCTCTGGTTGCGAAATAATTTTTTATTTGCTGTTCCTCAGTTCGAGTTCTTTTGCTTATGACTTCACAGTGGATGGAAACCCTGAAACTGCGAGATTTAGGCGCTTAAGAGAAAACCATGCTTAGTCACGCTTTCCACAAAGTTAACCTTGACCTCGATCAGCCGGCATCTATTTATTTGCGGTTGCGGGTGCATTTGTGGAAGCTGTGTAAATGAAGCGTGAAAGTATACAAAAACAATAAGTCACAACATATCCATATGTAATTTCTGAGTTTCCTCTGACATTTCACGACATTTAATTTTTTAAAATTTACAATTTTTAGTTTTTTATGGACCCTCGACAATTTTCTCGGACCCTCGACGTTTTACCCTCGACCCTCGTCATTTTACCCTCGACCAAAACCCATACTCGAGATTTCCCAAATATGTAAAATTGTGTCTCAAACAAGAAATCGTTTGTGATTAGTTATTACGAAAACAAAACTACTTAAAAGGAATAAACTTTATTTGTTATCCTCCCAAGGTAGAAAATGATTTATTTGACATCATTATACAAAATAGAGAGACCTAGGTACAGAAGCCTTAAACGGAAACTTCCTCTCAACTTCGCAAATCTGTCTCCAATTTTCTGAGGGAAAACAAACATTGATTTAGTATAAATAATGATACGTATGATGCACGATCCTCGGATTAGAGAGCGCTATTAATGCAATAGCGAAAATCAGACCTGAAAAAAATTAGGCTTGTACGGGATTCGAACCACTGACCTCTGCCATACTAGTGCAGCGCTCTACCAATTGAGCTAARAAGCCAACTGGGAGCAGGCCGTTAAGTTGATTCGTAATAAACCCGTGATGATAAATCAYTAACAATGAATATATGAAGTTCATATATTTTGAACTGCGGTTGTAGATACGTATGATGCACGATCCTCGCAGTAGAGAGCGCTATTTATGCAATAGCGAAAATCAGACCTGAAAAAAATCAGGCCTGTACGGGATTCGAACCACTGACCTCTGCGATACTAGTGCAGCGCTCTACCAATTGAGCTAACAAGCCAACTGGGAGCAGGCCGTTAAGTTGATTCGTAATAAACCCGTGATGATAAATCAAGCACAATGAATATATGAAGTTCATATATTTTGAACTGCGGTTGTAGATACGTATGATGCACGATCCTCGCAGTAGAGAGCGCTATTTATGCAATAGCGAAAATCAGACCTGAAAAAAATCAGGCCTGTACGGGATTCGAACCACTGACCTCTGCGATACTAGTGCAGCGCTCTACCAATTGAGCTAACAAGCCAACTGGGAGCAGGCCGTTAAGTTGATTCGTAATAAACCCGTGATGATAAATCAGATACAATGAATATATGAAGTTCATATATTTTGAACTGCGGTTGTAGATACGTATGATGCACGATCCTCGCAGTAGAGAGCGCTATTTATGCAATAGCGAAAATCAGACCTGAAAAAAATCAGGCCTGTACGGGATTCGAACCACTGACCTCTGCGATACTAGTGCAGCGCTCTACCAATTGAGCTAACAAGCCAACTGGGAGCTATTGCATAAATAGCGCTCTCTACTGCGAGGATCGTGCATCATACGTATCTAATACCGCAGTTCAAAATATATGAACCTCATATATTCATTGTATCTGATAAATAATGATATCCCTTTAAATCCTAGTACTTTTGTGAACGATCACTGTCACGTTTCGATCCTAGTCTGATGGATGTGTTTCCTCAATCAATCTTATGAATCCATTTTCTTGTCACCATTCTCACTTCGGACTTGTCCAACCGCAGCAAACGTTGCTTGACCAACCTTTACACGTTGTTCACGTATAAAACATGCCCAGCTTGCCATCAGGTGTTGCTGTATTTTTCTTTCTTCTTTAATTTAATTTCAACGCGCTTAGAAAGGTAACGAACGCAACATCAAGGAACAGACTATTCGCCAGACTGACCAGTTACTTGACAACCATACGAGTCAAACTCCTTACTTTAGTGACGAATTCCCCACGTTTATCAAGAAAGTAGTGATGGAAACTGAAGAAATCTGTTCCGATATTTTATTCCCAAAAAAATGATCAACAATTTTAATTTGTGCGCTGAATAGATAGAGATGATTCCCCGAGATTGAGTTGATATGAGTCTTAATTTACCGACGGTATATTTCATTTTGAACAGAAATTGATAGTTAATGGTTGAGATTTTAACCAAAAGTAGTGATTGTTGAAATTATTTGCATCAGTGATGTTGCCCGTATGCAAATTAGGATTGAAATTGTTCGCAACGAATTATTTACCTCTGTCGGGTGATGCAGACAGCGGAACAAAAGCCCCGTACCCAGCTGACTAAATCTGAGACGGGATGAACTATGAAAAGCTTGTTAATGGCTCTTTAATACAATACGTGTCATCCTATACGCGTGCTCGGGGAAACTCAACACAGGGCTAAGTCAACACATTAGAAGCCACTGACAAAACTGCAATAATGCTGGTTGTGATGGGATGTTGTTCGTTGTTACAGCTATTTCTGTTCACACTTCTTGAACCTTGTGAGTGGAATGGGGAGATACTGTCAGGAGCAATCAGAAGTAATCTGCTACAAATGGCAAATAGCAGAAGGTAATTTATTACCTCAATCGATGGCCAGTCAAGTTGTGTTTGATTTTGGAAATTGTTACAAATAACAGTGAAAATCACGCAGGAAATCGTCCCAGACTAGCAGAGATACAAAGAGAGGATACAGTTATTGCTGTAATTAAGTTTTTTTTGTTTTGTTATGGCGTGGAGATGCTCAGTTCACAAGCCGCGGCAGGTCATCGTTGTTGCTCTGTTGACGTCCATGTTTTGGTTTGCGCTCAATACCGTATTACTTGTTTCATATCAGCTAAATATTTCTTCACCATATCTCAAAAGTTACCTTATCTCTGATCAGGGAAATAAAGATGATTGGTTAGAATTTGAGCAAAATTCAAAGGAATTAGCTCGCTCAGGGAAATTATTGCCACGTGGAATTTCTGAGATTGAGCTCCACGGAGGAGAGAAACTCGACACTATAAACAACGAGATATCACAGATAATGAAAGACAAGTCAGATCACGACACGCAATTGATTCAAAATGGACTAATTAGAAATGGTAAAAAGGAATCAGTGGGAAAACTACGATTCAGAGGGGATGCTTTAAACGAAAACAGTAGGAAAAAACCAAAACTTTTAAAGCAAAGACTAATTTCGTCAGTGAGATCCATTGCCGAAGACAACTCAAGGAAAGATTCCGCCGACACGAATATTGGCGTCGCAAGATTTCCGACACATGACCCGAATGGTCCGGGGGAAAACGGGAAAGCTGTGAGGATACCAGACAAAGAAAAAGACAATGAGAAGGCTGGTTATGATAAGTATGCTTTTAACGAATATGCCAGTTCGAAAATTTCCCTTGACCGATCTCTTCAGGACACGAGGAGTCCAGGGTGAGCAGTGGACTTTATTCAAATAATATGACCAGGTTAATATCATTCAAATATCAGTGCTGTCTTCTGATGCACGCAAAAGGAAATTTTAGATAATATTGCAACACTTGTTCACACAATCAAGGTGTGTAATTTCAGCTCTCTCGAACAGCCGGGCCATTAGTTCGGTCTAAAAGTCGACCGATTTTTTTTTATCTTATAGGTCAAAATCGTGAAATTGCATTCCAACACCATAGCAACTAGCTTCCTCAATGATTTTCTTTAGGAAAATGAATTGACAAGTACTTAAACTTCTTCGTGCGCTGACAGAAGCTTATGGAATCTCATTGGGTGTTACAAATTCTCTATTGGCTTCATCATGATTCACAGCTTCAATGTTTCATTCGTTCTTCGTTCCGCGCGTTATTTTATTTCAAGATGTAGTGGTCACATAAATTTTAACACTTTCAGTCCTCAACTCATAGATAGCGATATGAATTTTGATTCAATATTCTCGTGTTCGAAACAGTCATGTAATTTTGTCTTAATCGTTTTTTTTTCTTTTTTTTTTTGGCCTTTCCGTTCAGGATATCTGGATATTTCCCGGCAGAAAAAAAAGTGTCTGAATTCAAGTCCTTCTGAAGTGTTCGTAGGAAACAAACTGTACAGGCCTTCAGTCCCTGAATTTATTTTAGTAAAAAAGTAGTGGGGAGGGGAGGGAGGGAAAGAGGAAGTATTAGGGTCATTCCTTTGGTCTATGGACTAGCACAAGGAGTCACGTAAGTTGGATGGAACCTCCTCGATCTCGTGTCTCTACTTTCACGCTCGCTGTGTAGCAAGTCGCGTTTATTTGTGCGCCTGGGAAAGACTAAAATCTAAAGCTTCGGCGGTTTGGGGCCCAAAGGGGTTGGGAAAAACCAGCTTTGTCTGACCTGCCCTTTTTTCTAAGTACGCCCGCGCACTTTCCAACTCAATATAGTATACTAATAATGGACTCCAAAACAATTCATTAATAACTTGATTGTCTGGAGGGAGAAGTTCTTAAGGAAAAGTTTAAGCCTAACTGAGATATATTTTCCCCTATTGGAACTCAGATGTGACGGTAAATCGTACCCTGTGTCGGACCTACCTACTACAAGTGTGGTGATTTGTTTCCATAACGAGGCGTGGTCCACCCTGTTACGAACTGTTCACAGTGTGTTAAACCGCTCGCCCTCAGACCTCCTGGACGAGATTATACTTGTCGATGATTTCAGCACCTTTGGTAAGTGGAGCTGATTTTGCGTTCAGTTCGCCCAGCCCGGCCATGAACATGATTCTGAACTCTGGACTCAGCTTTCGAGCATTATCATCAACGAGTGCATCGCGACGTACTTTGATTTTGTTTCACATTCTACCCAACATAATTATCATTTTAGTCATCATTTTAGTCAACATAATTTTAGATATGTTTCTCACCCTGAGCTCCCAGACTTCCAATATACTTTTAGACTTTCCTGTAGCTACAACACATAATATTGTTCTCTCATCACAAACTGAACTTTCTAATCATGCCCATCTCTTGATTTACTTTTCCCTTCTCTCATCTGAACTTGATATTTGCCGGCCCTGCTGCTGCGCAACACTCACTTTCTGCTAGAAATAACAAGTCATATTTTTGCATATTGTCCCTTTTTCTTCCAGATCATTTGAAAAAGCCGCTTGAGGATTACGTGTCAAGGCTCACTAAGGTCCATATCGTTAGGACACAAAAGAGAGAGGGGCTTATACGAGCTCGTTTGCTTGGAGCCAACGCAGCTAAAGGCCAAGTATTAACATTTCTTGATGCTCATTGTGAAGCAAACGTGAACTGGTTAGAACCCTTACTAGATAGGATCCGACAAGACCGTACTATTGTTCCTGTGCCAGTGATTGATATCATAAGCTCCACAGACTTCTTATACTCAGGAACACCACCCGAAGTTATTGGCGGTTTCAGCTGGGACATGCAGTTCAACTGGCATTCATTACCTTTGAGTGCTCGAGACAAACGCAAGGACTCCAGCGAGCCGATCAGGTAAGTATGCCCCTGAGCCTAAGTATTGTCTTGTCACATGTAAAAAGGGCTCAAAGGGGTTGTAGCAAAAACCACTTTGCAGTCACTTTGTGCAGTGGCTGTTTCAGAAGGTCTCTTATCCTTCCGAAAGAATCGGGGGAAAACACCAACAAAGAGCAACCGTTCAAATAATTATGTTTAGAATGCTTGTTCGAAAAAATAAATCAGGTTCAGACGAACAGTTTTTTAAAATCTTTTAATTTGTTCACAGTGATCTGTCCTTTTAAAAGTAACTCGAATAATTTTTTTAACAGTGAAAGGCCCCGGTTTTCATTCAAGTTCCCAATACTTGGAATGAGTGGCTCTTTACAAACCTGACTCACTTTTCTAACCAGTTCTTTCCCGCTTAAAATGAGCATTTATCGCCGAAAGCGAATCACTTGTTTCAAGTTGAGTGTTTTCACTTGTGTATGTTTTTCGTTTATCGAAGGACTCCTACAATGGCAGGCGGGTTGTTTTCCATTGATCGCAAGTACTTCTTCGAATCTGGCTCTTACGACGAAGGGATGGAAGTTTGGGGAGGAGAAAATCTGGAGATGTCCTTTCGGGTGAGTTGTTAATGATTAGAAGTCATGGCCCCCTTGTGGTTTAGCCTTATTATAAGCAAAAAAACTCCACTTCACATACAGGCTTCTTCTAAGTTCGGTTCTAGCGGCAATGAAGGCCGCGCTTTCTCACAAAATAAATGCTGAGGAGAGGATTAAATAGAACTAAAAATTAAAAGGCCTTGATATCCAGCTAAAGTAATACTGCACATCAGCTAAACTTTTTTGAAAGTTACAACAGCGAACACAGAAAGGAAAAAAAGGACTAAGTGATAGACTTAAGAAAACATTCGGTGATACAATCGCAATCTCCACCATCGTTGATTAAAACTTCAAACTAACTCCAATGAAAGTATTTACACATTTACTCGTAGACGTTAGTCTTTTCTTTATCAGTTTTGTTGTTCTATTTTAAATTTTTAATTTTTTGATCTAGATTTGGCAATGTGGAGGAAAAATTGAGATCATCCCATGTTCTCGTGTTGGTCACGTGTTCCGCTCTCGTTTTCCATACAATTTTCCGGGTGGCTATCATGAAGTCACAGTAAATCTTGCACGTGTTGTTCACGTGTGGATGGATGAATACAAAAAGTTTGTGTTTATGAAGAGACCGGACTTAGAAGGAGTCGATCATGGAGACTTAACAAAGCGCTTGGAACTCCGTAAGCGGCTTAAGTGTAAAAGCTTCAAATGGTACTTGGAGAATGTCTATCCTGAACAAACTACTCCGAGTGAGGAAAGTCACGCATATGGTGAGGTAAGAGGGGGAGAAAGAGAGTGGAGGAGGGGGGAGGGGGGAGGGTTCTGCTTAAGTCCTCATAGGAACAATTGATCACCACAAGTAGTCTAACTTCGATCAGACAATTTAAACTCGAGCCTTAGAAGGACTCATTGAAACCCGTGTCGTGGTAGTCTCGTATTTAAGAAAATTCACCGTACTCACGACGGCATCATTTTTCAGGAATTGAGATAATTTCCAGAGGCTCCTAAGGTGCACGGTGATTGCTTATACAATTTCTTAGGCTCGGTTATATGAACAGATTTTAATATGTTTCGATCGTCAACAAAGAGGGTCAAACTTCCTCTATCCATGGTATGTCATACTGCACTGGATAAGATTTAGTAATCCTTTTTTACGTAAGTTATGGATTTTTTTTGAAGGCTCGCAATCCTCAGACTGGAATGTGCCTCGATACAATGGCCAGGTCTATTGGCTCTGAACTCGGTGCGTCTCATTGCCATGGGATGGGAGGAAATCAGGTTTGTATTGTACACGAAAGGACTCTAGCTGTCCTTCTGACAACATAAGAATTTCACCACGAATATTTTGTTTCTCCTCAAGCAAATGATCGGATCTTATCGTCATATTGATAATCGAAATTGCCCTAGTAGTGTTCGGATGATAACAATGTAATCAGGGGAAAATTCTGCGACAGAATTAAGGATAAGACTTAAGGAGGATTTTGAAGTGCAATTCGCAAGTGACAGCACTGTCAGAACAGTGAGCCACGCATAAAACACACAGCTGATTTGTGCACAATATTTTGTTATAACCCTTATTTGGCCTGGGATGGAGCAACAACAAAATCTATTCAAGCGCACTAATTTGCGGGAAACAAGTTTATATCGTTTAGACTTGTCATCATATTCTTTACAGCATTTTGTCTTAACGGACGATGGGGAGTTGAGAGCTGGATTGAAAGATTCATTTTGTGTTGGAGGAGAGTCTGAAAGTGTCTTTCTTGTTTCCTGTGAAGAAAACAGCCAACAATGGGAACTATCAAAGGTAAATATTATGTTCTTCCCAGAGTCATATGCTTTTATCCTGTATCGCCAGCTAATGGGTTTCGTTCAATGCTATGCAGGAATCTAAAGGGAGTGGCGGTTAAATTATAGTTGCTCCTCTATTTTCTAGTCTTCACAGCATTTATTTTGCTTCGGTGAATGTACCTATTTGTTCACCAGTGTAATATCATGTATCGAGTATATCATAGGACTGGTTTGGATCTTGGTGAGAAAAATCCCCGATTGAAACGTTATCGAGTACCCTCCCCCCCCCCTCCCTAGGCGTCTCCTCAACAATGTGAAAACTAAATCTGCAAGAATGAAGATGGCTTTAATAATATCAAGCCCGAATTGTCCTCAAACGCGAATAAACATGAACCTGCTTGAATTTTTTTTGATATTGTTTCAGGGCGCTCTTCGTAACACACAACAAGAAAGATGTTTAGAACTTCAAGGAAATGGAAATACAGTGGCGTTGAAGAACTGTAACATGTTAGCCAATCAGAAATGGGAATTTTCCAAGACCTCCTAGCTCTGTTTTAAACAAATTGAAATATTGCTCTTCATGAGAAATTTATATAAAAGATTTAGTGTTTTTTGCTGCCCTTATGGGCAGGTTTATTTATATTACAGAAAAAGGCTTTAACTATACTCTCCTCCATAGCCTTCTGAATTACCGTTTCGTTTGTAATTGACGTTAGCCAGTATATTTCTCACATTAAAGTGCTAAGTGAAACCCCATGAAAAACCCACTGGGTGTTAGACCTAGTAAAGGGTATCAGGGAACAGCACTAGGCAAAGAAAAAATTCTTATGACCTCGGTGGGAATCGAACCCACGACCTCCGGATTAGATCTACCCTTGCTCTGCCGATTTAAGCACTTCGGATTAGGCCTCCGGATTAGATCTACCGTTGTTCTGCCGATTTAAGCACTTCGGATTAGATCTCCGGATTAGATCTACCGTTGCTCTGCCGATTTAAGCACTTCGGATTAGGCCTCCGGATTAGATCTACCGTTGTTCTGCCGATCTAGCACTTTAATTTACGCTTCAGAGTTAGTTCTCTGTTCCACCATTTGTGTTTACAGTCTTACGCGGCACAACATTTATATGTACCCTTATTTCTCACATTACATGGCTGAGGTCTGTCCAGTCCCTATTAAAGAAATGAATTTGTTTCCTGACTAAATAGCTGTCGTGAGAAACGAAACTCTAAAAGAGTTCAACATTCTACGTGTGACGACAGGTTTCAGATCTAGTCCCCGATCTCTTGCTTACGACATCATGACACACTCACTCAGTTTTGCCTTAAACAATAGAAACTGATTTTCATCTTTCTGAGTTTACTAAATGTCACGGAGCATACAGCTTTTCCGAGAAATTTTTCCTTTAAAAACAATAAAGATAGTGAAGCAGTTAGCTGAGTCTTTATTACCTTCGTTTGAAAGATAACCTTTTGCCTGCGCGGAGAGCAGACGGAACAAATTGTTGGAGGGTGAACTGACTATTTAGGCGAGAACTTTATTTTGAAGATAAACCGGCCTATTTCAAGAGAGATTTTAAGTTTTCGTGAGGAATATGATTCAGAGGGAGTGTGTGAGTGTGTGTGTGTGTGTGTGTGTGTATGTGTGTGTGTGTGTGTGTGTGTGTGTGTGTGTGTGTATGTGTGTGTGTGTGTGTGTGTGTGTGG